GATACTCCTGAACCAGAGACAACATCAGAAGCGTTTTACCTGAGCTAAGGAGAAAAAGTGTTGCTCAGTGGTCCAAAGTCCACTTTTCAGATGAAAGTAAGTTTTGCATTTTCATTTGGAAATCAAGGTCCGAGAGTCTGGAGGAAAAGTGGGGAGGCACAGAATCCAAGTTGTATGTGATCCAGTGTGAAGTTTCCATAGTCCGTGATAATTTGGGGAGCCATGTCATCTGCTGGTGTTGGTTTACTGTGTTTTATCAAGTCCAAAGTCCGCGCAGCCCTCTACCAGGAAATTATAGCGCACTTCACGCTTCCCTCTGCTGACCAGCTTTATGGAGATGGCGATTTCATTTTCCAGCAGGACTTGGAACCTGCCCACACTGCCAAAAGTATCAATACCTGGTTTAATGATCATGGTGTCACTGTGCTTGATTGGCTAGCACTCTTGCCTAACCTTAGCCCCATTGAGAATCTGAGGGGAAGATGAGAGACACAAAACACAGCAATGCAGAAGAGCTGAAGGCCACTATCAAAGCAACCTGGGCTTCAATAACACCTTCACAGTGTCACAGGTTGATCGCCTCCATGCCACGCATCATTGATGCAGTAATTCATGCAAAAGGAGCCCCGACCAAGTATTGAGTACATACTATACTGTACAGTTGTGGCCAAAATTATTCAACCCCCAATGCTGTAAAGGGGTTTAGGGACTATAGTGTACATTTTGGAATTGTATTCAGAATCAAATCCTACAAGGACGTTGTAACTACCCAAATGCAACTAAAATGACATCAATTGTTTATGTAATACAGTAGTAAATGGTTCTTATGTGGTTTCTTCATTGCCACAATTATTCAACCCCTTAAAGACTACCACTCTGAAGAACAGAGGTTCATACAGGTGCTTTCCATCAGGTATTGAAAACACCTGTGGATGTCACCGAGCAGCAATCAAGCATAATAAGCACCAATTAGGCAGCTTTAAAATGACTGTGATACTCAGCTCCTTCTAGCATTTACTGGTGTGGTTACAAACATGGTGAAGGCAAGAGAATGGTCCAGGAAGACAAGAGAAGAGGTGATTTCTCTTCACAGGAAGGGCAATGGCTATAAGAAGATTGCAAAGATGTTAAACATACCAAGAGACACCTTAGGAAGCATCATTCGCAAATTCAAGGCAAAGGGCACTGTATGAAACGCTACCTGGTCGTGGCAGAAAGAAGATGCTGACTTCGACTGCTGTGCGCTACCTGAAGCGTAGAGTGGAGAGAAGTCCCCGTGTGACTGCTGAGGAACTGAGAAAAGATTTGTCAGATGTGGGTACAGAAGTTTCAGCCCAGACAATAAGAGAGCACACTGCGTAATGAAGGCCTCCGTGCCAGAACTCCCCCCCAGGCGTACCCCCTTGCTGTCTCCAAAGAATAAGAAGAGTCGGACTGCAGTATGCCAAAAGCCATGTGGACAAACCACAAAAGTTGTGGGATAGTGTTCTGTGGACTGATGAAACAAAATTAGAAATGTTTGGGCCCATGGATCAACGCTATGTTTGGAGGAGGAAGAACAAGGCCTATGATGGAAAAGAACACCTTGCCTACTGTGAAGCATGGTGGAGGGTCAATCATGCTTTGGGGGCTGTGTTTTGCTTCTGCAGGTACAGGGAAGCTTCAGCGTGTGCACGCAAGGTACCATGAATTCTCTTGTACCAGGAGATATTGGTTGGAAACGTGATGCAGTCCGTCACACACCTGAGGCTTGGGAGACGTTGGACCTTTCAACAGGACAATGATCCAAGCATACCTCCAAGTCCACTAGAGCATGGTTGCAGAGGAAAGGCTGGAACATTTTGGAGTGGCCATCGCAGTCACCAGACTTTCCGATTGAGAACCTCTGGTGGGACTTAAAGAAAGCAGATTGCAGTGCGCAAGCCTAAGAATGTGACTGAACTGGAGGCCTTTGCCCAGAAGAATGGGCTAAAGATACCCGTAGATCGCTGCAGGAACACTTGTGTCAAGCTATGCTTCACGTATTTACAAAAAAGCTGTTATAATCTGTAAAATAGATGCACTGTACTCTAAGTACTAAGATTGAATGTCACTTGAATAAAACTGATTAATGCTGTGAGCACAGAAAAATTAACATTTGTGGTTATTTCATTTGATCTGTTATGTGTATATTTGTCTACACTCTGACCTACGAAGTGCACTCTTTAATGTAAATGTAAGCAAGATGACACACTGATTGATCAAAAGCAATGTCAAACTGGCCAAAAATCAGTCAATTTTAGTGGGGAGTCTTCTTTAGGGGGTTGAATAATTTAGGCAAACACACAACACTTACAATCATGGACATACTGACATACTTTTCAGTAAGCCAACATTTCTGTATTAAAAATAATTTTTTTTTTTTTTTTTAATTTCTTATGTAATATTTTAAATTTTCTGATATACTGAATTTTGGGTTTTCACACTAGCTATAAGCCATAATCATCAAATTTAGAAGAACAAAAAATGCTTGAAATAGATCACTTTGTGTGTAATGAATCTATAGAAGTTTTCACTTTTTGAATTGATTTACTGAAATAAATTAACTTTTTGATGATATTCTACATTTTTTGAGATTGGCACCTGTATATATCAGTCAAATTAGTTAATAAGCAGTCCTCACTTTCCCACAAGTGAGACGTTTTTTAATTTTAAATAAATTCATTTTTATTTCTGTTTAACCAATCTCTTTCATTATATGTAGTCTACAATTAACCATCTGTTAATTTTACGAGCTATACATGTCAATTTCCATACATTTTTTTTTTTTAATAGAAAGGCTTGTGTGCTGGTTATGTGCTCTAGTCCTTTACAATTGGCTTAGGATATTTGCATATGCTCCTTCTAGTCTTCTCCCCTCCTTTTATAATCACATTGCACAGATTTCATTAAGGTTTGAGAAAGAGGCGGTCCCAGTTGCTCCAAAACACATAGCCCCCACTATCTCTCCTCTGCATCTCTGTTCTGGCTCAAGTCCCTGGTTAAGTGGTGTGCTCCACGCTGGCACCCGGAGGTGACTCCTTTGCTGGCTGCCTGCTGCATTGGTTGACTGTTTTTAGCAGTGCTTCCATGGCAAACTCTGCATAAGATCCTCCAGCCACTTCCCATCGTTGCTCTGCTCCACCTGGCTCAGCTCTGAAGATGACACTAGAGGATGGTATATGCTTTTACCAACTTACCGATGTGAGTGCAATTTTACCTCTTTACTGTTTTTAAATAAAATTTACACTTAGATGGTGGAGCTCCTTGTTCTTTTTTCAGACCACAAAGTGATAATCTTATACACCACAGAGGTCCTGCAGCCATTTGCATAGTGACTTTTATTGGGCATTTGGTGTGACTCTCATGATTTCATTATAACTTTACCACCCCAACTTTCTTGACACCATATATATAACTACTGATGAAGGCTGGGGACAGCAGGCTGAAACTCCATATGCAGATAATGCATATTCTATCAATATGGCTGAAATTACCTCTTGTAACTCTAAGGCAGTGTTTCTCAACCTTTTTTCTGTCAAGGTACCCTTTAAAATTATGGACAGTCAAGAGGCACCCTTTAAAATTATGGACAGTCTTGAGGTACCCCATTTTAAAATGGAGTGCCTCAAGACTGTTTATAATTTTAAAAGGGTACACCATTCTAAAATGTGAAAAACGATTCTAATAGTTTTCTATAATGCAGCAAAATCCACACATGTTGGACACACCAACATTAGAGGTGATTTATTCTTCCAAAGCAAATACACTTTTGCACACTGGTACTGACTAGTATTCCATTGTTTCTCTTCTCCCTCAGTTTTTCTCCATCACTCAGCTAATGTGACCTCAGCACCGATGGAGAGGGGCAGGTGAGGGTCAAACTAGGATGCTGTTTAGGCAGCCGACATCCTCCTTATCAACTGATGATGTCATTGGTTGTCAGGACGCCAGCAGCTAGAAGGTAGTAATGGTGCACAATGAAAACCTGTGGCTTTGTGCAACTAAAAGGCGGCTTGTATCCAAGTTTTGGGCAATTTTTTAGACATTTTGTCAAGGCACCCCTGAAGAAACCTCAAAGGCACCCTGGTTGAGAATGGCTGCTCTAAGGGGATGGCAGGAGAATGTGATCACCCCAAAACAGCTTCTTCAGATAGATAATATTGGGACTCTGAAAATCAGAATCAGAGATAAGTCACAATGACCCAGCCTCAGGAAGGTCAGAGACAGAGCTATGGAAGACTAATATGATGTAGACCCTAGGGTCATTGGATTCAGATTACAGACCACAGTGCCCTCACAGGAAACAGAATAGACACCCCTGGAATCAATGGAGAATGGGCTGCGGTCACTTACAGCAGTGATGCTGTCCCTTCTATGTCTGTGAACAGGCCATGTGGTAGTGATGCAAGTAGGTCCAGAATGAGAGGCAAGACCTGAAGTTCTCACAAACCTAGGCAATTGGTGGCTGATAGGGGTCGGATGGCTGGAAGTCACCAGGTGAGTAGTAGGAACAGACCGGAGATTGTAGTTCTACATGGTGCTTTGCAAGAGCATAAGCAGACTGATATTTCCTTTACATTGACTAGCAGTAAAGAGACCACACAGTTTCTGGAGCTTGGTGTAGTAAAAACACAAATTTTATTCATAACTCTTTTGCTTGTTTCTACTATGTTTATTTAGACCTGTAGGGACAGTGGGGGCAATCCAGCTCTTTACGGTGTATTAGCATATGCTGAGGGGGTAAGGGGTCTCTTTCCTAGAAACCCTAACAGAGAAGAGTGTATGGTTGCCTATGTCAAAAGAATTATGTAACATGTACTAGAACAATGAAAGCCTAGTTGGTTGCAGTAGCCAGCCACTCTACTTCCCTTCTGCTAGCACTCGTAAGTTCAGAGGTGTAGCAAACACACCAAAAACATGTAGATAGGCAGTTTCGTGACCATACAAGAAATGAGGCCAACAGTGTGAGAAATTCTTACCTTCATGGTAACTGTTAAAACCATCACTGTAAACACCAAGGTCCCAAATGTCCAGTTCCCAAACATCTAAAGGAAAGGCATAAAACCAAATTTAAATTTTTACAACTTATAAAGACATATACAGCTGTAACACATAAGAACTTGATTGTTAAATATACAAAGTGCCAGGACCTACAGAAGATACATGGAAGAAAGCAATTACCAGTTACTGAAGTACAGCAGTGAGGTAGACATTTCAGAAAATGTTAGTTCTCATCTCATCATTAGTTTAAATGCCTTCTGAGTCACTGACCTGGATCAAACATGTGGCAAGTCTTAGTGCAATCAGAATTCCTGCTGCATACTTGTTGCAGGTCAGTTACTCGAAGTGTTACTTGATGTACCATGTTGATTGTGTATTTTTTTTACCCTGTACTGGGGTTGTTTTTTTTTTCCCCCCCCAGAGTCTTGCTCTGCGTACCAAAACAAAAATAGTGCATGAGGTTTTATTTTCTCTGCTCACTATTTTTAGTCCGCAGAACTCACTAATAATATGAAGGACTCTCCAACACCATGGAATGAAATAATCCGGTTATAAGACTCAAAATCAACAAGGTTTGGCTTGGTAAGGGGCCTTCTTCACCTTGGCCTTTCACGTGTACAGCCTAAATTGAATGTAGAAATACTGATGATGTCTGTGTACAGGCTAGTGTGTCACACTAACAAGGCCAATTCAGCAGGTTTCCCTGATATGGCCTCCTGCACATGGCCTAGAAACCTGGTGCTCAACCTGCCGCCCTTTTGCACTTTTTGTGTGGACCTTGGGGTCCCTGCAGACACTAATTTGTGTTTACCTATTGCCCTATTATAGCACCCTGTTATAGTAATGATTTCTACCAGTTTTATGTAACATGTAGTCTGACTGTCTCAAACAACTCCTATAGCATATTCACAGTTTCCTGCAGCATGACCGTAGTTTCTGAGCATCTCTTGAATTATGTCCACAGCTTCTGACCATCTCTAGAGGCTTTATAGTCCACAGCATTTTCCCAACAGCTGGAGAACCGCAGATGGTGTATAAAGTTATCCATACATGTGAATAGCTGCAGACTGCTGCACATGTGTGCATGACTTATTTCCACAAACGGGAAAGTGGCGCATTTGAAAAGATGCTTCAAATGTGCATGCATGGGTAAAAACTGAAGCAGAAGCCATCAACCTTTACACAGGTACAGCCTTTCACTTATATTGGGAGTGTATGGCACACGGTGGCTCCCCATGCGCAGGGAAGCACACCTGATTTTACATTAGAAAACTTTGAAGCCTCTAGATGTCCGTATGCATTGGGGCCAATGAGTTAGGAAACACACCACACCAATGGATGATGTTCCTACCGCCAACATGAGTGTGAAACATTAGCGTCAGTTCATCTGTCTGCAGAGCTCTAAATATCCTTATCCAACTACAAACCTGCGAGCTACATGAAATGGCTCCATTATGGATGGCAAGCTACAAGACTATTGTTAAATCAGGAATTCTCTTTGCTGCTGGATAAACTGACAAGATAATGAAGAAGTAAAAGTAATGCTAAAATGTTCCAAAATGTTCTCCCAGGAGCAACAACACTCCAATATTATATTAATTAAGCACTTTTAAATCCAAATGTGGCACGTGCCGTATAAATGTAATTTGGCATTATACCTTTTATTATGCACCTTTTATATGTCAATATTAGGACTTTACTGATCTGGAATTTGATGGCTAAAAATGTAAAGATTTTCATGCTGGTGATGCTTTGTTCAATGGTTAGCAATGAACTAACTGCTGTACAATCATGCATATGCTCACCATATCTACACTATTTCATACGTATCAGTTGAGCACTCCATAGACTTAAAATACAGTAAAATTATTCAGCTGTCACAGCATAGCACTCACAACTAGTACAAATGATGTACTCCAACCACAGCATAGAGACTGGGCCTACAGTGTAAATGTCTGAAGGAAAAACTTTTGATGGTCAAGGAAAATATATTCTTCCTTTTATTGTTCTGTTTCAGTATGAAAGATTCCCACTGACATGGGCAACAAGAACGGTCCTTTCTTTGAAATATATTATATATGAAGGTCTCAGAGGGAAAGCCATGAAGAAGTACCCTTGTCTCTTAAGGAACAAACTGCAACACAGTAAGCACTAGTTCTTTAGCACAATATCCCTTTCAGCAGCAAGAGTGCCAACTGTTAATGTGACAGTCAACAATATGGAAAACTGCTTCTTATCTTTCAGTGATACTCTTACCAGTTGCCTGTTAGGCTTCATTATCTGATGGCATGCACAGCATGAAAAGGAGGAAAAAGGAAGAGATGTAGAGCCAAGAGATAAAAGCAAGAGCACAGCAGAGATGAACAACTGAGAAGAGGGGAAGTTTTACTAGCTTCAAATTAAAAATACAAAACAAACTGTGTAAGATTAAAATATTAGCCAAAGCAGAAATATATGCAGGACAGGATGTAGAACTAGGTTTAGGGCACATACATTTTAAAGTGACAAATAACAGAAACAATTAAGGATGGACAGGTGGCTCTAATTCGCAAAGGACAGATTTTTGTTAATAGAACTAGTAATACTTCCCCAGAAAGGCTCTAGAATCAAACACAAAACAATGAAGTTTAGAGATGTAGAAAAATACACTGATATCAGCTAAGGTACAGCTAGCAGGCACATGCTAGTTAAACAGAAAAGCTGCACACCCTAGAATTGTGCTGGATAGATCTTTTTATTGTTGTTATAATGCCTTGAGAAGGTATTTACTCCACTTCGTATTTACACATTTTTTTTGCACTACAGCTTGGAATTAAAATGGATTTTTGGTGTGTTGTACCATGGGTTGTATACTACATGCCTATGACTTTGAAGGTGCAAAATTTTTTTTGTTGTGACACAAACAAGACAAAAAAAAAATCTGGATTATTCACCTCCTTTATGTTGAAACCCCTAAATAAGATGTAGTCAAACCAATTAGCTTCAGGAGGACCCATAATTAGATGTTTACATAAGGTCCACCTGTGAGCAGAGTGTCACATGATCTGTTATAAGATGTTAGTATGAATAGAATACCTGTTCAGAATGCTCCCCAAGTCTGTAATACCACTAAGCAAGCAATATGAAGACCAGAGAGCTCTCCAAACAGAGACAAAGTTGTGGAGAAGTATAGATCAGGGTGGGGTTATAAAAAAAAAAAACCCAAACTTTGAACATCCTACAGAGCACTATTAAAGGAGTAGGTTCACCTATTTAGGGGGGAACATGTAATATGTTCCAGCATCTGCAGCTTCTCCCCTCATTCCCCTCCTGCAATGTTCTGCAGGCGCCTTAGAGAAAAAATTAAAAATGCGAATTTTTTTACCTATATTATTATAATTTTTTTTAACAAAAAGTGAACTTAACCTTTATATTCTTAAAGTAAGTAAATAAATAAAATAAGAATACACGTTCGAAGTTCACCAGACAGCTTGTAGAAGTCTCCAAAAACAAGTATGGTGATCATAGGAAATGCTGTGTATGGCACAAACTCTTCCCATCATCCTGAGAACACCATCTCCACAGTGACGCATGATGGTGGCACCATCATGCTATAAAGGTGCTTTTCATGGCAGGGACTGGAAAACTGGTCAGGATTGAAAGAAAGATGCATGGCACTAAATGCTGGGCAATTCTTAAAGAAAACCTGTTTCAGACAGCCAGAAATTTAAGACTAGGGCAGAGACTTATTTTCCAGCAGGACAATTACCCTAAACATGCTGCTAAAACTACGCTGAAGTGGTTTACAGGGAAACAAGTACACTAAGGGGTTAAGTTACTAAAACTGGAGAGTGAAAATCAAGTGCAGCTGTGCATGGTAGCCAAATAGCTTCTAAAATCAGCTTGTTCAATTAAGCTTTGACAAAAAAGAAAAAAAAAAAAAAACTGAAAGCGGATTTGTTTCTATGCACAGCAGACCAGAATTTGCACTCTCCAGTTTTAGTAAATCAACCCCTAAATGTCTTCGAATGGCCTAGTCAAAGACCATAACTCAATCCTGCTGAGAATTTGTGGTATGAGGTTTGCTGTACACCAACACAGCCAATCTAACTTGAAGGAACCAGACCAGTTTTTCTCTGAAGAATGAGTAAAAATCCCAAGGGATATGCGTGCTAAGCTAATAGAGACATAGCCCAGTAGACCCGCAGCTGTAATTGCAGCAAATAGTGGATCTACATTCTATTGACTTTTGGGATAGTAGGAAGGTAAACACTCGTGCATCTGCAGGATTTTTCTTCTGTCCTAATTGTGTGACAATAAAAAAAATGCACAATAAAAGTCTAAAGCATGTTGTGCATGTCACATTATACAAAGCACCAAAAATTAATTTTAATATAAAGTTGTAATGCAACCAAACAGGAAAAATGGGGTGGGGCTATGTCAAGACTCCAGGATATAACGCCACACATTATTAAAACAGGTCTAGAAAGTGTGAAAGGGAACCTGTAATTGGAGAAATATGTAGCATCCATTGCTGATTTATTTCTGTAAATGCTAGCTGCCTGCCTGTTGTAATCATCTATGACATCTGGTTAATTCTCCTTAGATGTTCCCATGCCTAAGCTCAAAAGTATAACAAAATTGTGCTGTAAACTGCCCCCAGATCTGATGACACACCGTGTAAGATTTCTATATGAATCCTATTTGTTATACTAAAGGATACAAATGCGCTTTGCACATTTAGTGAAATATTTAATTTTAGACGTTTACATTACATTTACTGTGGTAAAATCTCTCCATGGGTCAACAAAAACACCTTGGTCATGATTATATTGCCCTAATGCACTTTTGTTCATGTTACTACTGTAAATTCACATCTGCAATTCTCATCATGTAATGACCCTTTCCAATCATGTTTACATTTTAATAAAAACATTAATGTAAAACACCTTGAGATCAGCTGAGGTCCCCTCACACCCTGGATACCACCACTATATGCTAGAAGAACTCCTTTTACCAACACCAAATAGTGCCTGTTTTTTTTTTTTTCTTTGATGAGAAAGCCAACACAGCACACGATTGCATCAGATGTCAGAAAATCCCTTTCAGAGCATTACAAGAATTTAAAAATAAAAGAATACCAAGAGGTTTTGACAGTTTCAGCACGTTTTCCTACAAGTCAGAAAACTGTTACATACCTGGCCATTTCCAAGAAGAGAAGTGTCTTCCCCCATCAGAAAATATGACCCAAAAAAGAAGATAAAGGCATGCCCAAAACCCAGAAGGGTCCAGTAAAGGAAAGGTTTAAATCCAAGCAGGGCATTTTTACTAATGTCTCTGTGGAAATTACAGAAAGACCAGTACATTAGAAATGGCATAATTATTATTTGATTGAAACCACAGTGGTTCATATACATTACTATATTAGTAAGAAAGCGGTGTCCAAACAATAACATCTGCAAAAGCAGGGATAGCATTACTAGTGCATGCGGTTTTAACATTTAACAATATACACACTATAGACTTAAAGTGGTAGTAAACTTCCTATTAACTAAAAAACTAAAAATGTTGCGCTCCAAAATTAATACCTATGTGATAAATCCAAACAAACAATCTCCTACTAAATGATTACTATCCTACGTTAAATAAGTAGGAATAGTGAAAAACTTAAATGTGATATGGTTTAATTACAAATAATAATGAGGATGTGATTAATGTCAGCAAACCACATTAGTAATATAGTAAATTATTCACGGTTTTTTGTGGCTCACAAGTACAATACACATATTGCTTATAAACTTCCTATTAACCACTTAAGGACCGCCCTACAGCAGATGTACTGCTACAGGACGGTACCTGTGCGCAGGATCACGTATATATATACACATCATTCTGCATTTCCGGGTAGAGGGTGCTCACGAGCCGCACATGCGCCCTACCCGCGCCATTTGCAGTCGTGGATGTTAATCATCGGGTCCCGGCCGGTAATTACCGAGCATCTCTGACAGGGAGGAAGATTGTTTTGTTTACAATCTTCCTCCCTGTTAGCTCGAACACACTGCTTAGGATGGCTGTGCACAGTACAGCCATCCCGATTAGTGTGCTTACAGTGAAGAACACCCCCTCCCCCCGCCCCCTAGTAAAACACTCCCAGCACACAGTTAACCCTTTGATCGCCCCTCACATTAACCCATTCCTGCCCAGTGCCATTAGTACAGTCTTAAAGCTTTTTTTTTTTTTTTTTTTTAGCACTGATCACTATACTGGTGTCACTGGGGTGTCAGTGACACCAAGTTAGTGCCCCCTCAGTGTCAGAATGTCTGCCGCAGTCCCGCTAAAAGTTGCTGGTCGCTGACATTACTAGCAGAAAAATAAAAACCCATTATCTATACCGCCATTTGTAAACGCTATAACTTTCACGTAAACCAATTAATTTACATGTATTGGGATTTTTTTCTAAGCAAAGACATGTAGCAGAATACATTTTGGCCTAAATTCATGACGAAATTTGATTTTTTATTTTTTCACTGGACATGTTTAATAGCAAAAAGTCCAAAATATTGTTTTTCTCAAAATTGTCAGTCTTTTTTTTTTTGCTTATAGCGCAAAAAATAAAAACCGCACAGGCAATCAAATACCACCAAAAGCAAGCTCAGTTTGTGGGGAAAAAAAAAAAGGATGGACATTTAATTTGAGTGCAGCATTGCATGACTGCACAATTGTCAAAGTAACGCAGCTCCGTAGCGCAAAAAATGGCCTGGTCATGAGGTAAATCCTCAGGAGGGCAAGTGGTTAAAGAAAAAAAAAACAAAAGAAAAAACAAAACAAACATGGGCCCTGTGCTGTTTAAACCGTAATGTGCTAGTAAGCACCAAAGTTTATGGAAACCAACGTTTGGTCGATTCTCTTCCTTGACAGCAGTTCTGTGACCAAGGCTTCATTGTTGGTCTTGTGACATCCAGCAAAATAATCACAAAGCAGTATATTCTGCAGCCATAGCAAGTATTTCATGCTTTTTATTGTCTGGCCTAAAAAGCTGGGGTGGTCATATTTGAGTTTAAGTACACATTAAAATACAACTTCACCTTTTGGCAAGAATATAAAATGTATGATTAGTGCGCAAAAGAGCATATGATCTTTCCAACAACCACGGTATCTACAAGTCCGTAATAAGCCTTGTAGCACGAATGACAGCCATCTCAGGTTAAGCCAGTGCTTCTCAATTATTTTCTGTCATGCCCCCCCTAGGAAGAAGAAAACATTTCGCGCCCCCCCGCGCGACTGTAAATAGTATCATTTGTCTATAAAATTGTTATAAGTAGGAATAGTGCCCCATCGTTGGTGTCAGTGGGAGGAATAGTGCCCCATCGTTGGTGTCAGTGGGAGGAATAGTGCCCCATCGTTGGTGTCAGTGGGAGGAATAGTGCCCCATCGTTGGTGTCAGTGGGAGGAATAGTGCCCCATCGTTGGTGTCAGTGGGAGGAATAGTGCCCCATCGTTGGTGTCAGTGGGAGGAATAGTGCCCCATCGTTGGTGTCAGTGGGAGGAATAGTGCCCCATCGTTGGTGTCAGTGGGAGGAATAGTGCCCCATCGTTGGTGTCAGTGGGAGGAATAGTGCCCCATCGTTGGTGTCAGTGGGAGGAATAGTGCCCCATCGTTGGTGTCAGTGGGAGGAATAGTGCCCCATCGTTGGTGTCAGTGGGAGGAATAGTGCCCCATCGTTGGTGTCAGTGGGAGGAATAGTGCCCCATCGTTGGTGTCAGTGGGAGGAATAGTGCCCCATCGTTGGTGTCAGTGGGAGGAATAGTGCCCCATCGTTGGTGTCAGTGGGAGGAATAGTGCCCCATCGTTGGTGTCAGTGGGAGGAATAGTGCCCCATCGTTGGTGTCAGTGGGAGGAATAGTGCCCCATCGTTGGTGTCAGTGGGAGGAATAGTGCCCCATCGTTGGTGTCAGTGGGAGGAATAGTGCCCCATCGTTGGTGTCAGTGGGAGGAATAGTGCCCCATCGTTGGTGTCAGTGGGAGGAATAGTGCCCCATCGTTGGTGTCAGTGGGAGGAATAGTGCCCCATCGTTGGTGTCAGTGGGAGGAATAGTGCCCCATCGTTGGTGTCAGTGGGAGGAATAGTGCCCCATCGTTGGTGTCAGTGGGAGGAATAGTGCCCCATCGTTGGTGTCAGTGGGAGGAATAGTGCCCATCGTTGGTGTCAGTGGGAGGAATAGTGCCCCATCGTTGGTGTCAGTGGGAGGAATAGTGCCCCATCGTTGGTGTCAGTGGGAGGAATAGTGCCCCATCGTTGGTGTCAGTGGGAGGAATAGTGCCCCATCGTTGGTGTCAGTGGGAGGAATAGTGCCCCATCGTTGGTGTCAGTGGGAGGAATAGTGCCCCATCGTTGGTGTCAGTGGGAGGAATAGTGCCCCATCGTTGGTGTCAGTGGGAGGAATAGTGCCCCATCATTGGTATCAGTGGGAGGAATAGTGCCCCATCGTTGGTGTCAGTGGGAGGAATAATGCCCCATCATTAGTATCAGTGACACCAATGATGCGGCACTATTCCTCCCACTGACACCAATGACACTTGCTGACCCCTGTTGCAGTATGGTGCTGCTGCAGCCAGCATATGTGGTTGTAGCAGCACCTCTGCACTGCACACTTACCGGCTTTTCCCTCACTCGATTTTCGCGGGTCCGCTCGGCTCCGCCTCCTCGCCCGTGATTGGCCGCCTGTGTACCTTTCCTGAGCTACAGTTCTGGCGACCAATCACCGGTGAGGAGGCGGAGCAGAGCGGCAGGAGTGAGGGAGTGGCCGGAGTGACGGAAGGAGCAGCGCTTCCTGGATGGATCCAGGTAACAGACAGCAGCCCTCTGCCCACCCTTGTACTTAGTGTCCCTTCTGTCGGAAGGGGGGGGGACGGCGGCGGCACCGCGCCGCGCCCCCCTTGACGGAGCCTCGCGCCCCCCACTATTTGAGAAGCACTGGGTTAAGCTAACCCTATAAAGACGAAGAGAAAGAGGCACCTTTTAAGTGCAGTATCCAAATGATGTTTAAGACAGCCCATCAGACATATGTGAAGAGTAGTGAAGATGCACCACGAGATTCCACAGCCTAAACATCCACCAGTCATAAGATGTAATCACTGTAGATGGATGAGAAGCCTCAAGCCGCTGCAGCTGAAACATCATTTGGATACTGCACTTAAAAGAAGTCTCTTTCTCCATCATTTTTCTCTTCACCTTTTGGTAATGTTTTCCTTTAATTTGGCCATACACCACACAAGTTGGAGGCCACCCAGAGTATAGTTATGCCATAGGAAATTGGAGGAGACAGCAGGAGGTTTTTTTTTGTGAAGATGATTTTGTCATTTAGGGTTGGCTGTATTCTTTTGCTGAATGCAGCACTTGGTCAAATATTTATCCTCTTCTAAGTTCACATGCACAATGTCTGCTCTGAAGAACTGTCTCTCTTAGAGAGAGACATCTGTAAGGTTTAGGTTAATCACTTAAGGACCAGGCTTATTCTGACACTTTTTGTTTACATATAAAAATCTGTACTTTTTTGCTAGAAAATTATTGCATTTTTTTTTTTTAGCAGAGGCCCTGGAAAATAAAATGGCAGTCATTGCACATTGTCATATGGTATCTGAACAGCAGTTTTTCAAACACAATTTTTTTTAAAAAGAAATTCACTTTAATGAATAGAAAAAACAAAACAAAAACAATTTTTTTGTAAACTACAATAGATGATGTTACGCCGAGTAAATAGATACCCAACATGTTAAGGTTTAAAATTATGCACACCTCTGGAATGGTGCCAAACTATGGTACTTAATCTCCATAGGTGATGGTTTAAAGTTTTATTACAGGTTACCAGTCTAGCATTACAGAGGAGGGTCTAGTGGTAGAATTATTGCTCTCACTCTGACGTTCACGGTGATACCTCACGTGTGGTGCAATCACCGGAGAACACAGAAGAGTTGTGGGGTAAATTTTTTCCTGATGTACTTCATAGCATTTTTACAGTCAGCAGTTGCAGTCCATGTATTCCTCTTAATATGGGTTTCTGCTGAATGCTTTGTGTATGCTTGCTGAATATAATCTTTACCAGCCATCCAAAAAATTCCATGCAACAGGATTACACGCGCGTCACAAATACATAGTTGGCTACTATTCCTAAATTACAATTTTTGGTTTACCAGTAAAATTCTTTTCTTGGAGTACAGGAAGTCACAGAGGAGGTCCCATTCATAAATACTTGGATTATGCAGCCACCTTCAGGTGAGTGGACACTAGCCACAAAAAAACAAGGAATCCCAGCCCAAGCATAATCCCTTCCAAGTCAACTAAGCCTCTGGCACAACAGGACACAGAGGAGTTCATATACATGACTACTAGGGATTCCCCAAAGCACGGGACATGAATGGTGGGCAACAAAGCAACAAGGCAAAAACAATTAAATTCTAAAACCAGAACAGTGGAAAACCCCACTAAACAGCTGCCTGCAAGACCTTTTGTCCAAAAATAAACATCGACCTGGTAGAAAATAGTAAATGTATGAAAAGAAAACCAGGTGACAGCCTGAAGACGTGTGTCAGTCACCCTAAGCCAGAAGACCTGTGTGGCAGTCTGCCCTTAGTAGACAAAGTCCCAGTACATACTGTGCCTGGGGAGAGGAACTAGCGATGGCTGCTGTGCAGTGCTTGTAAGCAGAATGCTGCTGAGCAGACAGACATTGTGGAGCAATTTAACAGTTTCCCCGCACTGCGGAGGCTCAGGAACAGCAATGTATATGTACTGTGCCCAGGTTTCACTTAAAAATGGCGCCCACGATCGGGTTATCGCATGCAGTGCTGGACCACCTATTTTGTGCTAACGCTGCCAAAACTGCCTGAAAACGCTCCATAATACAAGAAACCCTGTCCGGGGGACTACAACATTGCTCCACTGACAATTAGAAGCAGCTCACTATGTCTATAGCTTAAAGCACCCTTTCTCAAATAGGGTGCTTTGAAGTTTCTTCAGGGATGCCTTAGCAAAATGTCTAAAAATGCCCAAAGCTTGTATACAAGGCAGAGGAAGGGAACAAGCCCCGCCTTTTAATTACACAAAGCCACAGGTTTTCATTGTGCACCATTACGACCTTCTAGCTGCCGGCATCCTGACAACCAATTACATCATCAGTTGATAAGGAGGATGTCAGCTGTCTGCACAGCATCCTAGTTTGACCCTCCCCGCCCCTCTCCATCGGTGCTGAGATCACATTAGCGCAGTGATGGAGAAAACCTGAGGGAGAAGATAAATCACCTCTAATATTGGGTGTCCTACATGTGTGGATGTTGCTGCGTTATATAAAACTATTAGAACCGTTTTTCACAATTTAGAATTGGGTGTCCTTTTAAAATTATGGGGTGCCTCAAGACTGTCCATAATTTTAAAGGGTGCCTAAGGACTGTCCATAATTTTAAAGGGTGCCTTGACTGAAAAAAGGTTGAGAAACAGTGGCCTAAAGATCCAATTTTCATTTCACCTATCACAGCTGTTGTGTCCTACAGGGCCCTTTAGGTATTCAACTCCCCTCCAGGGGGACCACTGCCCTGGACCTGTACAGCACCAAGGCAATCAGCAAGGTTAATGGGTACATCCTAGACTGGGAATCTCTGCCTGCAGGACAAAGTGCCAACCAGCAGACATTACAAGCCATACCTGCTCTTGACTGTTGGGTTCGGGTACAGTCCTCTCTTGGCCTGCTGGATGAAGTCAACCTCTGCCCCAGAAAGGATGTAGGAATGGACTAGAAAGTATGGGAACTAAGCCCACAGGAGAGATCTTCTGAGACACACAGGAAAGCACTATTATTACCCAAGGACACTGGCTCTAAATTGAGGCTTAGCTGAGCTAGAAGGGTTTCCTGCCTGGGTGGGGATCCCAGCCTTTTATGGCCAGTGTCCACTGAACTGAAGGTGGCAGCATAACCCAAGTACTCATAATTATGAACTCTTCTGTGTCCTGTGATGTTCAATTAGAAAGGAGATATTTATCCATGTTGCAATCTAAATACAATGAAGTAACAAAAAATGTACGATGCTAAAAGAAACAAAAAGGGCAGATGTACTCACCTATAGAGACCAGGTTTTGTGTGCAATACATGTGGATGCACATGTTGCTCAAAGAGACTGTACACCAGGATAGGTAAGGAAGTGAAACAAATATTGTACAAAGTCAGGTACACACTGTCATACAGTGTCTGCAAAAATAAACAGGGAGCTTAATTAAAAAGTAGCAACGACTTTTAAAATTCAGTAATGCGCTACACTGTCTAAGGTGAATTACTGTACATTATAAACTTTAGAAGTTTTATCTACCATTGAGGATGGAGATATTTTCTACAAAATCAACATAAGCTTACACGATTTCTTTTTAAATAAATGCATAACTATCTACCCTTAAGTATGAGAGGTGCGTGACCAGTTAAAAGTTTAGAGCAGGTTCCAAGCTTTGTACAAAGGAAACTATTATATTTTCAGTATAGCCAGATTTTGATCACTTTAAACACTTACATTACACATTTTCTGATGTGGCTCTCTAATATTTAATAGCTTGCTGTCCCATAGTGTGATTGCAGTAGTTTACAGTTTGGCAAATGCTCCTGCTAGTAATCAAGTGTATATAACAGGGAATGTGATTAGCTTCCTTTTCTAAGGACTGCTTAAATAAGTTCACTTAACCACATACAGGGCGTATGGTTTTCATTCAGGTGGGACCTGATTCCCAGACTTGAACTGGGAGTGATCAGCATTGTTCAATAGTATGAAGCAGGAGCAGTGATTGCATAGGTAATGAGAAAACATGGCTGCCCTACACAGACACTTACAAATATATACACAGAAACCAAGTTTTTAAAACATTGTTATTTATAAACTTAAAGGAGATTATCACATTCACACAAATATCAATAATACATTTTCCTTTTAACATGATACTATCTTTATTACTCCTGACACCGATTTCGAGTTTCATTTAGCTTTCCAACACAAGTTATGCTTTTCTCAGGTATCCCATCTTATTTTTTTATTTCATGACACTTAAAAATTATGGAAATCTGAAGCATTTTTTAAGTTCTTCAAAAGTTTTTCCACAACTAATCCTACATCTTAAAACTAACCTGAACTATAGCCTAATTAGCTCTAACCTTCATCTGGACCACCTACAGCACTAGCTCAGGGCAGTAGTAATTAAAATAAAAAGGTTATTAACTCAGAAACTGCTTGTCACATGACTGCATTCTGAAAACAGGTACACTGCAGTTGAAAAGACCTACAATAGTATGCTGTAAGAATACATTTTTTATCAATATACCACCCTATAGACTTTTTCCTTTACCAAACCTCACTCTGAATCATTAAAGCTTACTTTCGTCACAAGCTAATAACAAAGGGCTATTAAATATTATTCGCTGGTTGTGTCAAGCACTGTTCAGCTTCAAGAGCAATTATCAATATTAAAAATCAAGACATTATTGGGAAGCAAGGTTTGTAATGCACAACTGACTGACCTGTTCACACCAACTCACATGTGGTATGCCCTGTATAACACACATGCATCAGAGTGTGTGCTGTGTAAAGGCAGTGTGATGCATTGTTATAACACATCACACAGTTTACCTGTTTCTTTTAACTATTATGAAGTGTCAGAAAATGACACTTTATACATAACAGCATGTCGCGCCAGACTGGGTTGTTGTGCGCTGTACTGCATAAAAATGCAGATATGCTGTATTTCTTAAGCAATGCATTTATCATATATTTTCTCATGATCCGTAAGAAAAAGAATCATGGGGGCAATGTCAGACTTCTGTAATTCTTTTCCCACAGCTATGTGCGCATACCTCTGTATGTCACGGGGAAGGTGGGGAATGGGGAGGGTGTATGTAGCATGTTACACAGGATGCAGAAGTTTATAAATATAAAACAACTGATTGTCTGTGTAGGTATGGAAGCTTGCCTTTTACATAAAACATTTCAGTTTAGTTGTATTTTATATATTTCGAAAACATTAAAAGAAACAAAGAAGCTGGCATTGCCAACTTGTTTGAAAAAAGGTTAAGATCTTGGGAATGTCATTCTTATCCTTGCTTCACTACTCAGTGACTCACTGACCCAGAACAAATGTGTAAATAAGGCATTTGCCACAAGAGATGAACATTCCAATTCCAGGTCAGTGACTAACCAAATACAAGAGCTGGAAAAAAAGACTGAACTTTCACAGTAAAATAAAAAAAGTTAGCAATGCCAGTTCCCAAATTTCTGTAACGAAAGGTTCTTTCTAAATTTCCATATGTTTTGAGCTACTGGTGGGAAATTTTGCTTTCATAGATGCCAATACGACAAATCACAAGACATGTGAGAAATCATTAGAGGGAAGAGCTATTGGGAGAACTATATTCCTAGCTCAAATTAAAATATCACAATAAAAACATAACAAATCCTGTGTGGTATCACTAACAAAAGGCAATGCTACACTTACTTGCTGTGAAAATAAACAAAAGAACTGATACAAAAACTGTGGTGTGATAAAACACACATTCTGCAAGAGAAAATAAAACATTGATATCAGTAAATCTACACATACCAAAATACCAAATATGCATCCATGTTAAAACATTTCCAGCAAACTGCATGGCAAACACCACAGAAATAATAATTGTAGTCTGAAAGGTATCATATCTATTATATATTTTCTTTACTTCTTAAATCAAGACAATATTTTTACTAAATCTAATTTAAGCTTTCTTCAAAATTCAACAGAAACTGTAGGCAGGTCCATAATAACCCCTCCTGTTACCAACATGCTCCAGTTTTGTGGCAAAGCATGAACAGAGATGATGTGCCACCTAGAAAAAAAAAATAGGACTTTTTAAAATTCAGTATAACATCCCTTTCTTGAACTCCAGAGTGGTGCAGGAAGACTTAACCCTTGGGTTATAAATTGCCATTTACAAGAGGACTGGACACTGGCAAAAAAAACTGAAGGCCAGTCCTCCTCCTAGCAGAATGTGTCTGTTTTGTAGCAAATTAGTAGTGAAAGCATGATTATAAACACAGAAGGGTAGGACCTGTGCCCCTCAATTGACTGCAAGAAAAATATTTTATGGAGAGTACAAAAATGTCATTCTCAACCACAGGGATAAAGGCAACTTCACCTTTAGGACATCCAAAAGCAGTGCAATGGCCACCAAATGCTAACAAGCTCACTAAAACAAAAAACTGGTGACTGCTACAGCTTAAAAATCTTCTGGAAAGGCATTATATTCCTAAAGAAGGAAATTGGATGAGACCAGAACATCCACCTGGTAGAATATTTGTTAACATAAAACCAGGTGGCAGTCATGCAAATCTGGGAAACAAAACCCAAATGCCAAAAAGCCCAGAGGCACTCGCACATCTAGTGCAGTGTACCTTGACAGGAAAGGGTGGAATCCGATCCTTGAGACCATAAGCTCGGATGATGACTTGCTGGAGCCACCTAGAAATGGCAGAACATGAAGCTTGTGCATATTTTTTAGAATGGGGTGCCTCAAGACTGTCCATAATTTTAAAGGATGCTTCGGGACTGTCCATAATTTTAAAGGGTGACTTGACTGAAAGAAGGTTGAGAAACACTGATCTAGACAATGGAGGGAAATTTTGTTTTGGTAAACCAAAGCCTGATAGAGCAGAAAAAAGACAACATCCTGGCTGAGGTAAAAGGCAGGAGCTACCTTAGGCAAGAAGGAAGTCTTGACCTTCATCACCACCTTGTCTCTATGCAAAACCAGAAAGAAATCCTTGCAGGATAGGGCCACCAGTTCAGACATTTGTTTCACAGAGGTAATGGCTACATGAAAAAAATACTTTGTGGGTGAGATTAGAGAGAGGAATGTCTCTATTGGCGTTAAATGGCGGTATCTGAAGTGCAGAGAACCAGATTCAGATCTTACAGAGGACCACAAGGGAAAACTACATGGGAGACTGTACAACAGTCTTTAACAAAGAGCAAGAGGCCAACAGTCTATGAAACCTGGTCCTTGATAGCGCTGAAATACAAAAACTGGTCCAGACTCAGCAAAAGAAAGTAGAAGATTCCGCTCAGAGAGTCCTGGATTGGAAGCCTCAACTTCACACTAAATGAAGTATGCCTTTCCTGTCTAATGATAGAGTTTGTGAAAAAGACTTTCTAGCATCGTAGGAATCACAGACTCAGAAGATGCCCCTGTCCCTCAGAATAGCTTGTTGAAGCCAGCAAATGTGAAAGCAGGATGGCAAACTGGTCCTTGGAGCCCGATGATCCAGCAGAGCACATGGAGAATTTGCTAGGAGTCTTACCGGGGCAATGGTCCACATTTGCCTGGGTCAGTAGGTGCAATAAGGATGACTGGAAGGCCCTCCAACACAATTCTGTGTAGCAGACAAGTAAGACACTTCAGTGGTGGAAAGGCATAGATCAGCATGTACTGATCCCACAGAGGCACCAGAACATCCACTGCTTCCTGCCACTAGAGAATCCCTTTACCTGGAGGCAGCCAAACCAGTTTACTGTTGAACCTGGGTTAAAGTGGTACATATACGGCGCTCCCCCACCTGTGACACGATTCATGGAAATCCTCTGGGTGTAGGAAACAGTCCCCCAAAGCCAGGTACTGCTGGCTGAGAAAATCTGTATGTCAATTTTTAAACATGGAATATACAAAGCTGGAAGGTAAAATTCTACACAGGACTAGATCTGATCTACCTCTTGACGCTTGAAGCTTGATATCCAAAATACAGTGAATGCCCACTTTAGACTTGGGAACGGTGAATAGTTTAGAGTAAAACCCGTAGAGCCTGTTTTGCCGCAGAAGACCTGAGAGGGCTCGATGAATATCTACTAATCCATGTGGGGACATAGAAGGTTTTAGAGAAGAGAAACAGAGAAGGAAATGAAACTCGTTTGTAGCCTGGCATGCCCACCTCTGGCACTCAAAAGCCTGAGATGCAACTGTCCATGCATTTGCAAAGGTTTACAAATATCCCCCACTCTTGAAAGGAGATGCACCTTCATGTAGAGGAATGCTTGTATGAAGCTTTGGCCAAATATGAATGCCAGGACGAGTAGACAAGCTTGGGGGGGAGTCAAGATCCCTGTTGGTCCAGAGAGTAGAGAAACAAAAAAATGGGTGTTTCATAACAGACAGACTGAAACAGACAGGGAGAAAACTTTGCAGACTGTTAGTGTTCCACTGAGGAAGATGGTGCTCTTGCCACCAGTACCATCCTTGATGCTGTTAAGAGTTAGTCCAAAGCTCCACATTTCGAGTCTGCATATGGTACTCCAAAAGCTAAGCTGAAGACGACTATGTTAGAGAGCTGCAATTGATGTACAGAAGCATCCTAACTGAAAAAAAAAAAAAAAAAATAGGAAGAAAAAAAGGTGCTAGCAAAAAATAAGAGTCTATTTACACAGCAGAGTTGCAGAAAAGACATATATCCTCTTCGGACTGAGGCATGCTGGCAGTAGGGGGAATTATCCTAAGATGACTGGCTTTAATTTGCTAGTGTCCAATCCTCCTGTAGTCAGCAGTAAAACCTGAAGGTTAAAGACTTCCTGTGTCCCTCAATGTGCTAGAAAGAAATATCAGTGTAAACAAAAGATTTGGCTAAAATTCTTATCTGCAATTTTCTTCAAATATGTAAGTGAAATCACCTAAAAAAAAAATCAATGGTGAACCACTTGATAAAAGTGATTGTGGCTAAATAATACATATTCATTTAAAAAAAAAAAATCAAGGTGCTCATCAAATTGTTGGTTCCAAAGGTAGAAGGTTTTTTACCTTAATGCATACTAGGCATTAAGGTAAAAAACCTCCTGAGTGCATCTCCCCTCAGCCCCCCTTATGCTTACCTGAGCCCCATCTCAATCCAGTAATATGCATGAGAGATGTGCCTCTCCCAGGTATTTCTCTCCTCATTGGCTCACACAGCAGAGGGGGCTATTGGCTCCTGCTGCTGTCAATCACAGCCAGTGAACCAATGTGGAGTGTTGGTGTTCAGGCCTGAGCCATGCTCTATGTGTGTATGGACAATGTCCATTCACAGGAGCAAGCCTGTTTGAGTAACCTATAGCTATAGGGGGCACTTAGTGGGGGATCCAGGTTGACCTGTGCAAAACCATTGTTTTGTAAAACATGTTTGTTATTTAAAAAAAGAAAAAAAATTACAACCTTTAGAATCACTAACTGCATTCAGCTTTTTTCCCAAACCAAAATATTAATGGTTTATTTTGTCTTTAAATTAATAAAACACGCTAACATACGCAGACATACTTAGTATGTGTCAGAGAGAGTCTAGATGCTAACACATGTACACAATCTTTTATTCACATACCTTATAAAAAAAGTACTGTACAAGAGTAGCTACTCTAATATAGTAGTAGTGACCATGCACCAAGAGCAGTTTTGAGAGGAATTTAAACCTCGCAATTGCATAGTCGCTGTTCCTTACAGCTTGTCTGCCCTCTTTTCCCATGATTCCTGAAAAGCAAAAAGGTATACAAATTAAACCCAAATATTTGTCACGGTAAATGAATAACAGAACTCCATGCTTGAAAAAGAGCCCATTTGGGGTAAGCTAAGCTGTTCATGTCTATGCTCCTTGCAAAAAGCTCTACCACTCTATGGCAACTCAGCCAATAAAATGATAGCTTTGCTGTTGATAATCTTAGTACTTTATGATTACCAACTGGATGTTTTTAGGTTGATTGTTGTTTTAGTCTCTATGTACCCACTGTATATAGCTAATGAGGTGATAGCGCTCCCCATTTTATAGTTGGATACCTCAAACTAGACCATTGCCGGCTGAAGGTCTTCATGCTATTTTCTATCTTTTGTAATGTATGTAAAATTTCAATAAACATTATTGAAAAAGAAAAATAACCTGTTTAATGGCTCAAAACATAGCTTATTGATATGAAGGATTTTATCCTTTAACTTGTTGCTGCCTGTTTGCACTTTAAGCCTAGATTCACAATATGAATCACACAGGAATGCGCAAGTGGATTAATGTGCAATCCACATGCAATTCAGTGCAGTGCAATTTGAGCCCATTCATTTGAATGTGCTCAAATCACATCAAAAGTAGTGCATGAACTATTTGGAAACGCACTGTAACCGGATTGCATGGTAGTTTTGTTTCATGTGATCTGATGCAGGAAAATGCAGTTTTGACCTGTGTTTGGGATGTCGTTAACATTGCACTGACACCTACTGCAGATTGCAAGGGCAGTGCATTTTGAATGTGGTGTGGGAAACATGCATGGATTATGTTTTTTTGTGCACTGCAATCTACTGTGCACTGGGCTAAAAGAGCTATATGTGCTGAGCTATTTGTCTTACAAGTCCTTTGTGCAAACAACTTTTTCATTACTGGAATTTAGTGGGTCATGTATGAACAATTAGCACATAAATATATTCATAAATGGAAGTGAAAATGTAGGGTAAGAGTCCTTAAGACTTTGACTGCTCTTGTAGCACTATAAAGCTCATCTTACCTATGCCTACATGGGCTTCTTGGATCATGCTGACATCGTTGGCTCCATCGCCAATGGCCAAGGTGATGGGTTTTTCTGGTGAGATTTTTAATAATCTGACCACCTTCAATTATGAAGCATAAGATTGTATTAGTTAAAAGAATCTCTTCAGAGTCATAAGAATTTGAGATTTTTCCAAATTTCCTGTCTTCATACCTTTGCTTTCTGTAATGGTGCCATTCGACAGCATAGAACTGCAGTGCAGCTTCTGCAGACTTCCATGAAAAGCTTTTCATGTTCCCTGAGTGCAAGAGAGAGGCTGGCACCATCCACAACCAGCCCATGCTGGATCACATGGTCATCTTTTAACCTAAGTTAAGCAAAAGCTCTTCGTAAGACCAAAAACTACAGATTTGTTTTTTTATTAAGTAAAATTGCTTGTTTCAACATTATTTTCACATGTGAAGTTTTAACATGGAATTTCTATTCATAAATTTCTATCCATTAACCACAAAGCAAAAGCTTCACTCTAAGTGTTGCCTACCCAGCAGCATAAACTTACCAACACACGGTTGTAGACTCCCCATGACAGTGGTGACTGGCCCAGTGCGGTCAAATGGCTAAATTGCATGCTTCTTCATGCAGCTGAACAGAGTGCTGATATAGGCGAGTATGAGCTGCTAGGGTTGGGAGGGATAAAGTATACCTGTTGTTTTGAACTGAATGTTTTGCTTTAATGCAATTACCTTGTGGCCTCACAGCTGGTTTCCCACTGCAAAAGAAGGGAGGAGGGGCTAGGCAATCTGGGCATAAGTGGGAACGAATACCGGTCAAAACCATCTATCCCTTCCATCCAAAAAAAACTTTAAAAAGTTTTCAAGAGTGGCAGAGAAGGGAGGGGGGAAGCGTAAAAGCGGAACTTCCAAATATGGGTTTTGGATAGAATAAGGAGGAGTTTTTAAAAACACCTTTCAAAATGTTTGTTTTGCTCCATTGAGAAAATTTCCCTTCACTTCCCTGAGGAGAAATCTTATCTGTCAACGGCACATTTGTCCCCACTAGAAGATTGTCAGTCAGCTCCTGTCCTGCTTACAACTTTTTTTTTTTCCCCATGCACACAGGGCATTTGCGCAGTTCTCTTGACAAATGTAAACACATCTAGACGCATTTAGGCATGGCAAGTGTTCTGGCCTTAATTTAAGTGGCCAAAATATTAATTAATGCTCAAGTGCTTGATGTGGCTAGCGTTAACATGCATTTAGACACTGCACTTGCAGTGGGGTTTTTTCTGTCTCTAAACACTCCTGCCTCTAAATACCTGTGTATACATGGGCACATAGACTAACATGGAGAGGCATTTACAGAAATAAAAACAAACACACCAGATGCCTGTAAAAGCTCAGTGTGCATGAGGCCTTTGGATTTATGATTATCTTTTCCTGCAACAATGGTTATCTAAACAAAAAGAGAAGGTGAAACTCCAAAGAAGTGGCTTATACAATAACCTGACAGGGGTTTTTACTTTTCACAATTTAAAAAAAAAAAATGCATTTAGATATACTTTTGGAGATGGCATTACCTCCCTGGCAGTATTCCCAAGTGTAGCTTGGGGTTAACTTTCAGTACCAGAAGCAGTAAGCGAACTACACTCGGGATTACACTGCAGCTTTGCTCTGGCATCCCTCAAGTACCTACCTTGTCCTGCGGTCCCGCGATGTCCCCCCTGCAGAGTCCCCGGCCATGTCCTCTGGCCGATGCCTGCATCCGTCTTCCGTTCCCTGCGAGCGTCGGGACGTACAGGGGACGGAAACGGCAGGAATTTCAAAAATGTAAAAATTTGACATTCACTCAATCCACTAACATCTGATAGTATTACATTACTGTATCAAAGCATTTCACATACATTTTGTCCCTAGTGCTTTGTCCTGTGCCCTGCCTGCATTTTTACCGTTCTTTCTGCCTGGAAACTGAGAAACGTCCATGGCATCCAAAAAGCGTCCCTTTAGGTCAAAAGTGGTTTTAGACCAGCTAGAGAACAGCGATAGTAAATTAGAACCACTTGCAGAATTGAGTGATGATTCGTGGGGAAATTCGTTATCAAGACACTGAAAACGATTTTGCGACTAAGCTCAGTGACGTGCGAACTTGGCGCTCTATTTCACATCAGTGTTTTTGGTTTGATTACATTATTGAATTAAATGTATTATTATATTGTTTATGATTATATTATAATTTATGATTTCGTGTTTCAAATTTTATCATATCCGGGATGTTAACTAGACTCTTGTCTAGATTTCAGTAAGTTATTCCTAAGAATTACAGGCCTACAATAAATAAACAACATATTTCCATTGAAAACAATGTACCGTTTTCAGCACAGAAATACTGACATAATCAGATGGCTAGGGAGGTTAAACTCTGTAGCCCAAAAGAATTGTATTTAATTATTAAGTCTTTTTTTTTCTAATTTACCCATCAACACATTATTTCTTTACACAGAATAAAGTAAAAATGCCATTATATAAATTAGATTGCGGGCTAAATCCACTCACTCGCATTGAAAAGGTCAATATTATTTTCTGGAGAAGAAATAGGAAGCAAAAAATACCAATCTGAAAGCCCTTTAGTTTAAAGGAATAAAAACTACAGCTTCATAAACCTTAATCTTGTTCACGATCACAGCACACTGCTTGGTAAACTTACCGCCTGGCAAGCTGTCGTAACTGCTCCGCACACTCGCGGTCTGATTTTTGCTGTACAAGTTCAAGAATATTCATTGTTCTATGAAAATGTCCACAAGATAAGCTTACACTAACAGCTGTCTCATGTTTGTCTCCTGTAAGCACCCACACTTTTATCCCTGCAAGTCGGAGAGCTTCAATTGTTTCCTGGACTTTGTCCTGGAGCCTAAAAAAACAATACAGAAAGCCAATTAAAAAAACATAAGAAAAAAGATTGCATATAAATGACAGAAAAAAACAAAAAATTATTTGCACTGTCAGCCTTTAAAAAGGAATGGAATTCATAGTTTCTTTTTTTTCTTGACATACATAAAAATGTATCTCCCTGATGTAACTAATGTTCTTTGTATTTATGCTTTAAAAACCCTATTTCTTGATGTAGTTTGTAATTACATATGTACGTTGGGGCATCCAAGTTTTCTCATTAGCGCTCTTTCAGACAAGCAATCTGGCAAAAAATCAGTGACTTACACAGTATGTGTGAACAGCTGCAGCCAGTAGACCTAGATTTTTGGTTATGGATCTGAATGCAGTGCATATATACACATCTGTGTGAATGTCGCCATTGAAAACTATACACCTGCATTCAGATCTGTAAATAAAATTTTGTTGTAACTTCATTGTTTTTTTCACAGTTGTGTGAATGAGGCCTAAGTACCAGACAATACATCTACTTCTTACCATAGTTGTACTCCCTTAGGATCATTTATCACATTAACAAGGAGCAAGCTATATGGTGATACATAGCATGGGCTTCGGTATTACCTATGCTTTCATACTCCTTTACATTGGCAAAGAACCAGGAATATGTTGTTTAAACTCACACATGCTGTTATGCCTTTTACACATGCCTTGGTTTTCAAAATGGAGAGACTGAGAACACTTTAAGACTAGCTGCTTTGGGTTTTTGTTTTGTCACATTTGTTACATTTTATTTTTTTTTACGTTTAACTGCAATCTATGTGTTGCAATCCACTGACCACTCAATCTCTGAACACAACACGATGCTTCACCTCTTGTCGAATATGATTTTAATTCTATTCGTTCTGCATTTGTCTAGACCAGCCTTTATCAAAAGGGGTGCAATTGGATTTATTCAGGGCTGACATCCTAATTTTAATGGTTACAAAGTGGAGGCAGAAATGTGCTAAGCTGTATGTTGGCAGACTGGGAGCTCGATCAGAGCAAAAGTGTACAGAGTCATGGATGGGGCAGCTTCTTCCAGATTCCATTAACATAGGGCACTATGTGAACAAACAAAATCACCCCACAATACAGGTGCCAAATGCAAAATTTAAAAGTGAAAGTCAGACAAGTGGAGAAGGCATATGGAGCAGCCAGGTATGTAAACCTGCGTTTTCTGAAAGAGCTATATGTATCCTGTGTGTGGGAATATTTTTTTTATTTTATTAGGTATACCTGTTCAATTGCTTGGTAACACAAATTGCTAATCAGTCAATCACATGACAACAACTGCATTTAGACATGTAGACGTGGTGAAGAAAAAAAAAATAAAATGCCCCCACCCCCCAAAATGACCCCTTTTTGGAAAGTAGACACCCCAAGGAATTTGATAAGAAGCATTGTGAGTATTTTCCAGATCTAGTTTGTTGCCATACGTTTTTGGAAAATGAAGAAAGAAAACAATTTTCTTTTTGTGAGAAAAAAATGAGATCTGCAAAATACTCACCATGCCTCTTTATAAATTCCTTGGGGTGTCTACTTTCAAAAACAGGGTCATTTGGGGGGTTGGTGCTATCCTGGCATTTCAGGACCTCCAAAATTGTTATAGGTAGTGAAGACGTGAAAAGAGGAAGTTATGCACCTTCAGGCTTTCAGAGTGGTCATTGGATTTCAGGCTCCTGTATGTGGCTAGGCTCCCAAAAATCTCACATATGTGGTATCCCTATACTCAGTAGAAGTAGCAGAATGTATTTTCAGGTGTAATTCCACATATACCCATGGCTTTTGTGAGCAATATATCATTTAAGTGACAACTTTGTGTTAAAAAAAAAAATAAAAATGTTTTTGTCATTTTCCAAAAACTTGTGGGAGAAAAATAAATCTTCCATGGACTCAATAGGCCTGTTTCTGCAAACATTGCGGTTTGTGTGCAATGTATGAAGTGACAGTAACCTACTGCACTTGCTGGGAAAGAAAGGAGGGCGTAAGTGTATGGGCTAAACGCAGGTGATGGCAGGTGCCGGGGCTGATCCCGCTAATGCTGCATTTTTGGGGATGCTATACTAATGTAAACGCTGGTATAGTGCTGATCTGATCAAAGATATTGATCCGTTCAGACACTATACTATCAAAGGAGGTTTACTCTGTATGTGAGCGTGGTCCTGGCAATCAAGGAGTTAAATGTGATTACTGGTGTACTAACAGGCAATCTGACGTTATCTGGGAGGGGCGCTAACTGATGCTAGTGCTATCTAAAGTCACCAGCGACATGAATACAGTGATCAGCAAAACAATCTGTACACTGTATTAATGACACTGGTGACAGGGCAGTGAAGGGGTAAATGTGTCCTAGAGTGTTCTAACTCTAATTGTGTACTGCTTTTACTCACAGTTTATGTTGATTCTTCTCTCTCTGGGACGGAATGTGCCAAGAGAGAAGATTTCATTACTTCCTGTCCTGTGTAACTGTCAACACAGGGCAGGATAGAACAGGGGTCGATCTTCTGACTTGGGCCGGACATCAAATCGGGCCGGTGGGGGCCCGTGAAAACCGCGGGAGCGCAAATAACGTAACGTTACAAAAATGTGAGGGGTGAACTCACTTTTGTGAGATACTGTATAGAATATAGAAAAAACAAACAATACATTCACAATCAATTATATACAGTAGCAAAAATATAATAAACAAAAAGTGCTATTCATTGGGGGGTGGAGATAGGAGACTCAAATGCGGAACATAGGCAAGAGACCAGGGAACCAGATAGTACATAACTGAGTCCTATAAAATATATTCAATGATCATCAATATGTGGGCACAATTGATATTCATTGTGAGTATGAGCCTATATATTTGGTTTAAGCATTTGTTAATTAGTATATTTAGACTTACACAACTATACTATTTGCTGGTGGCATTATGTGCTTTATAGGATTGTGAATATATTTTTTTTTTCCATATTCTATATAGTAGTACTGCTTTCCCTTATACAGAAGTTACGGTCCTGAGGAAGCCAGATGTATAGACGAAACGCGTTGACCGTTTTCTGACCTTCTACCCCATTTTTGGAAATGGTATTCATAATATAGGTGATATGTGTCAAATGCAAGGGATAGGCGATGTACTAGTTTTTTTTTACTCCCCCTGTTGTGTCTGGGGGTTATGCATGTATTGTTGGTTTTGTAAATTCTTTTGTGACTATTTTATGTCAATAAACTGCGATATTTGTATATGATAGTGTGGTCTCTCACTGTGCCCATAAAATCCGCTAGTTTGGTCGTACAATTTGTACGGCAACCCTTTACTTACATTTTTTAGCATGTGGCACTAGGAAGCTTCATGGTGTGTGTGTGTGTATATATATATATATATATATATATATATATATAATATATATATATATATATATATATATATATATATATATATATATATATATATATATATATGTATGTATGTATGTATGAATGAGGGGGGGGTGGGTATGTGTGTGTATAATATTTAATTTATATAGAGATATATATATATAGATATATATATATATATATATACATACATACACACACACACACATACATCTATTACCGGTGGATGAGAAGCTCTTAAAAGGTGTAAAAAAAAAAAAAAAAAGGGTAGAAAAACAAACACTGGTCTAGACTACTATGGCTATAAACAGGAAGGTAAAGATCTCACTTGTCTTCAACGCCAGTTGCTCCCAGCAGCTCTAGGTCTCTCTCTATGAGTTCAAATACATCAGCCAGGCGTTCTTCCCTCTGCTGTAGTGCAGTACGAGCTTCATGAAGCTGCTGATCAATCTCTTGGTATTCCTCTGCTGTAAACCTCCTGTAGGCTACACATAATGTCCGCAGTCCTTTCTGGTTCACAAAGACAAGCATTTAAAGCAACATTAACAATAAGCATTTAAGACTAACCAAGAGCACACATTATAATAGCAATAGTAAGTAATCTCATAAATCCCACTGTAACTGCTGTAGTATCTAAAGTGAACCTGACTTAGCCTTAAAGCTGAACATTATACAGACATAATAGACACAAATTAAAGTGTTACTAAACCCTCAACAGTAAAGTTAGTCTATATATGCAGTAAAGGCTGCTTGTTATACTCGCTGTGGAACCTAAGGGGTTAATCCTCCGCATTATGTAAAACCGCTGTTTGCTCCTGTCTTTTCAGATCCTCCCCATCTTCTACTGTCCTCAGTCCATCTGCTCACACAATAGAGCCTTGGGGGGGCAAGCTGCACATGCCCTGTTTGGTGTGTATTGCTAGAGTTTTTTTTTTTCCTTGGCAGAGTGCATGTAATCGGCAGAGTGCATGTAATCGGCAGAGTGTATGTAATCAGCACAGGGCCAATCAGTGCTGTCCAGACAAGGTCATGGGTTATGCAGTCTCATAGGATAATCAGGGGAGAATGAAAACTCCTACAAGATTTAACCAGTGCTCTGCTGACACACACACAGATGTCACAAGACTGCTCTAACTGCTGGTGAGAAAAGGTATTTAGCAGTTTATTTTTACTAAAATAATTGCATTTCCATGTTCTGTGTACTGTGGGAAACCAGCTATAGTGAATGTAGGGTCCTGGGTTTAGTAACACTTTAATGCATCTCTCTAATCTATAGTAAGCTATAGTATGTATTTTTATTAAATGCAAATAATGTCAGTACCAGAAGCTGACCTAGTACTTCTATGTATGTTGAAAGTTTATTATAAAAGAAAAAAAGATCCCCAAATATGTATGAATCTGTAGTCTCTGAAACCACTGTAAAGACGGGCAATGGACAGACGATTATAATAACTGAAATTGAATTACCTTTAGGTCACCAATTTAGTTAGTTTTATAAACTACATCTTTAATTGTGAGATGAATCTAGTCCAAAAAAGAACTTACTAAAGCAAACTCATCTACATGCAGCCTTGTTCTTTCTATCTCTCCGCCTTTGGCATTTGGAAAAATAGCAGACTCTGCACCTTTGGTAAAAAGGAACTTGTCCCCTTAAAAAAAAAAAAAAAAAAAAAAAAAAAAAAAAAAAAGCATTGAGTGGTTCTGTTATATACACAATGTGAACATGTTAATAGTGTGAATTCACATGGAAGTCTGGAACCTTACCAGAAGGAGACTGTACAATGACACTCATACGTCGACGATTTGCATCAAACTCCAGAACATGAAGAAGCCTGTACCTTGATTTAAAAAAAAATGAAGACCAGTTTACACAGCCATTGTACATCATCTTACAAGGCAAACAACTGAGCATTCACAGCAGACATTTTCTCATTACACTCCATAAAGTAAAATTACAAGCATATATCCAAATACATTTGAAATACATATATGTTTACTGTGTTACCTGTCACTGAAGGATCTTCTACTTTATACCCCTCCACATAAGTGATGTACTAATTTCTTAGTTCAGCAAATAAGCTTCCTGGTTTAGCTTGGCAGCTTCCTATGTTACCCCTCTGGCTTCAGCCAGATCAATAGATAATTATTCAGCAATGTCATTGTCACCTCTGTTCAATGAGTAGAAATCTGACCTAGGAATCAGTAATACTATGCAAGAAAGTAGCAGAGCTATCATCCGTACTATAAATGAATAACACTGATTGAAATGACAAATCATTTGGCAGGTGAAACAATGGACATATGTGTATCAACTGTGTAAAATAAGGAGAACCACCCCATAGTTCATATTAGTAAGGGGAACAGTCCCCCATCCTTCATGTCAGTGGGAAGAATTATGACTCCACGTTGATGTCAATGGGAGGAATTATGCCCCACTGTTGTTGTCAGTGAGAGAAACAGTTCCCCAAGGGCTTAATAAATGCAAGCAAAGATCTGAAGTTTGGAGACCACTTCACGTTAACAGTCTATCACTATTCCATTTGTGGCTAGCTCTATTGTCTGGAAGATCAAGTTGTTATCCAACCTGAACAGTGGTTTGGCAAAGAATAGTTTATATGGGTGAAAACGGTTATACTAGCTAAATGTGCTATGTTCTTGCATTTTACATAGGAAGATGCGTTTTGAATACCCTTTTCATACAAATAAAATTGATGCTTTTTATAAACTATTGATGATTTTCACTGTAATTTCCCAACATCCCATTACCCTACATGTATAAATGAGCTGCGGTATCCTTACTGTGGGCCAGTCATAGTTCTGCCTTAAACTGTAATTAGCAGTTTGCCTCTATTTCCACTTTATAAGGAAGTTCACGTGTGAATCTAAAGTACAGGGTACGAGAGCACTAATTTATGCATATTCTAGATAAACATGTTGTAAAGTAAATGCTAATAAATAACCATGAACTATAAAAGTGTTACTAAACCAGGACCCTGCATTCACTCTATCTGGTCTCCTACAGTACACACAACATGGAAGTACAATTATTTTAGTAAATATAAACTGCTAAATACCTTTTCTCATCAGCAGTATATAGCAGTCTTGTGACTTCTATCAGTGTCCAGCAGAGCACTGGTTAAAGCTTGTACGAGGCGTTTACTTTCTGCTTTAGGATGGAAAACTGACCTCTTTCTGGACAGTGCTGATAGTGCATGTGAGCAGCACAGGGCCAATCTAAAAAAAAAAACCTCTCTAGCAATACACACCAAACTGAGCATGTGTAGAATGGCTAAAGTTCAGTCTGTCTTATCAGGAGATAAGACGTGGCCACTTGAACAAGAGGAGGAGCAGAGAAGTTCGTATCAAACGGCCTTTTTACACAATGTGACTTCCATCAGTGTCCAGCTGAGCACTGGTTAAAGCTTGCAGGAATTCTCATTCTGCTCTAGGACAATGCAGGACCCCTGACCTCTGTCTGGACAGCACTGATTGGCCCTGTGCTCATCACATGCACTCTGCCAAGGGAAAAAAAAAAAAAAAAAAAAAAAAAACCTCTCTAGCAATACACAACAAACGGAGCATATGCAGAGTGACTCCACACGATATGTCTTACCAAGGAATTAGAGGGGGGCACTGGAAGAAGGGGAGGATAAGAGAAGACAGGATCAAACATTGTTTTTACACAATGCAGATGATTAACCCCTTAGGTTCTACAGTGAGTATAACAAGCATGTTTTACTGCATATACATACTGATTTTACTTTTGTGGGTTTAGTAACACTTTAACTTGCTGTTCAATAAAACTAGTAACATAAAATTGTCAACAGGTGAATAACCAAAACTGTACCAAGGCAAATCACTCTATAGAGATGTGTTAAAGGATGCAGGGGTTCTGTAATGCACCAGAATAGTGTCTTTAAAAAGTATTCATCCTCTTAGTTGTCATATAACTCTGTACAACATGCAAACAGATTTCTGCAGCGTGATTTAATTAAAAATGTGTATGTATACCCAAAACCAAAAATGAATACATAGCTGTTTATTTAGGGAAAACAATGTTTTTTTTTATCCTACAACCTACTACGAGCCTGGTGCACTTCCTTTAGGGGGGGTGAAAACACTAACTAACCTGCTTACACTACAGTAGTGGAGTTGTACATGAGCATTCCCACATCAGTATTAAAGCCTGAAATTGTAAAGCACAGAATTTTTATATAGTGTTTTCCTGCCCAGCAAGTGCATACCCTCTGTTCTGACATTGATGAACAGAAAAGACAGCCATCATAAATAATGTTTTCAAAAAGGTGTTATAATACTTTTTTTGCCATTGTCTTTTCAGTATCCAATTACTCTATATAAGATCTTCACTCTGGATGCAGACTTCCTAATTTGGGTTTACATCTGCTTTACCCCAGCAAGAAAATTACCTCAAAAATAAAGCCAAACCTACACAAGAATGGCTTGAAAAACACAATGTTAATGTCCTTGAGTGACCGTCTAGATCTCAATCCAAGAAAGAAAAAAAAAAAAAAAAACAAAAAAAAGAAAAACAAAGTGTCCATGCGATATACAGTTGTGTTCAAAATAATAGCAGTGTGTTGGAAAAAGTGAATAAAGCTCAAAATCCTTCTAATAGCTTTTATTTCCATACACACAAATGCATTGGGAACGCTACACATTCTATTCCAAATCAAAACATGAAGAAAAAAATATCAAAGTTGTGTTGTTCCTCTAATAAAATTGAAGAAAAGTGAATATTAGACTGTTCAAAAAAAATAGCAGTGTTTGTATTCTTCTTTACAAACTCAAACATTCACTATATAAACTGAAAAATGTTTGAAGATTTTGCTTTCCTTTGAATGACTTAATGAATATTTAGTTGTATAAGCACTGTTTCTGAGAACTGCTGTACATCTGTGTTGCATGGAGTCAACCAACTTCTGTACCTGTGAACAGGTATTCCAGCCCAGGATGATTGGACTACATTCCACAGTTCTTCTCGATTTCTTGGTTTTGCCTCAGAAACTGCATTTTTGATGTCACCCCACAAGTTTTCTATTGGATTAAGATCCGGGGATTGGGCTGGCCACTCCATAACGTCAATCTTGTTGGTCTGGAACCAAGATGTTGCATGTTTACTGGTGTGTTTGGGGTCATTGTCTTGTTGGAACACCCATTTCAAGGGCATTTCCTCTTCAGCATAAGGCAGCATGACCTCTTCAAGTATTCTGATGTATTCAAACTGATCCATGATCCCTGGTATGCGATAAATAGGCCCAACACCGTAGTATGAGAAACATCCCCATATCATGATGCTTGCGCAACCATGCTTCACTGTCTTCACAGTGTACTGTGGCTTGAATTCAGTGTTTGGGGGTCGTCTGACAAACTGTCTCCGGCCACTAGACCCAAAAAGAACAATCTTACTTTCATCAGTCCACAAAATGTTGCGCCATTTCTCTTTAGGCCAGTCAATGTGCTCTTTGGCAAATTGTAACCTCTTCAGCACGTCTTTTTTTCAACAGTGGGACTTTGCGGGGGCTTCTTGCAGATAGCTTGGCTTCACATAGGCGTCTTCTAATTGTAACAGTACTCACAGGTAACTTTAGACCTTCTTTGATCTTCCTGGAGCTGATTGTTGGCAGAGTCCTTGCCATTTTGGCTATTCTTCTATCCATTTGAATGGTAGTTTTTCACTTTCTTACACATCTTTCAGGTTTTGGTTGCCATTTTAAAGCATTTGCGATCATTTTAGCTGAGCAGCCTATCATTTTCTGCACTTCTTTATGTTTTCCCCTCTCCAATCAACTTTTTAATCAAGGTACGCTGTTCTTCTGAACAATGTCTGGAATGACCCATTTTCCTCAGAATTTCAGAGAGAAATGCACTGTAACCAGCATGTACAACATTTGCTGCCTTCCTTCCTTCTTTAAATAAGGGCAATAATTGGCACCTGTTTTTCAAAGAATGAATGACCTCACTAATAGAACTCCACACTGCTATTATTTTGAACATGCCCCTTTCAATTAGTGATTCAATTACACAGAATCAGCAGCATGCATGTCATGACTGTTGGGTCTGTTGGATTTCTATTACTCTACTACACCTGCTGGTCAATTATTTGCCATGTAGAAATATCATTTCTACCAAAAAAACAGTGATTGATCAGGTTAGTGATGTCTGACTGCTAATATTTTGAACACAACTGTATATACCCTAAACTGCACCAATTGTAGGCAAAACCTTTTTTTTTTGGATAGAGTGGGGGAAGGATTTTACTGCAGTCAGGGGCACCATTGGAGAGATTTATTCAACTTCTGTCTGGAAAGAAATAGAGGAGAAATTGCTAATACCAAACACAAACAGAAGCAAAGTTACGTTTTTTGGATTACCGTAAAATCATTTTCTTGGGAGTACATTAAAGGGCACAGAATGAAATAATGCCAATACATTAGTTACAGTGCTGCTTCCAGGAGACTGAACACTGGCAAAGAAAGCTTAAAGGACCACCTAGTATAACCTTTGTACTCCTATAATGTCAGTGTTTCACACCCAGGAATAGTAGAAGTGGATCATAACAGAGGGGATTTGTATTCCTTAAAAGTGGCTGTAAACTACAGACATACAATCTGAACAAAGCATATCTTTCTCTACTATGTAGTTACCTCTCTCCAAAGCTCTGGGAGTGATCTCTCTCTGCTGCCTGGTTCTTCTGTTATCAGCCTGACTCACATCTGATAGCTTTTCCTGACAGGTAGGAGGACTCCAGCACACAGTCTGTGATTGACAGCCACAACTGTGCTTGTTCTCTGTGTAGAGTGAGGAGGGTAGTGCATCCCTTCCATCAAACTCACAGTTCCTCTCCCATAGCTGTGCAGTGAATGCATTCAGATCCCTGCCTTCTGCTGCTGAGAGATGCTGCCAGAATCTGTGTTAATCTCTAAGCTGTAGAAGGCTGTACAGGACAAATGGCTGCAAATTATCAGGTACAACTTATGTAGGAAGATTTTTTTCATCTCTGTCTGTCATCTGAGACTAGTCACTTCACTGGGTATATGTAAGGGTTTACAACCACTTTAATGTATTCGAAGGCTGGGTTCACATCAGTTGTGTTATGTTTTTTTTCCACAACTTTTTTTGTGTGTGTTTTGCACAAGTTTTTAGGCGTACTGATAATAAAACCTCTACAGAATGCGCAGTTTATGAAAAAACACAAAGGCCTAAGAGAAGTATTTTATGGCGAGTCAACGATCCCGTTTTCCTAATGGTACATTAGGGCACACAGCGTGAAGTAATTCAAGCACAATGGGACATCCAATAGCAGTTCAAATAATCGGTGAGCAACACAGCAAACGATGTGCCATCAGCTCCATGAAAAATCACAGATTAATTGCTTCCCTGACGCCCTATAGTAGAACTACTGCTACAGGGCATATAGGTAATTTGCATTTCCTGGTAGGGAGCGCACGCTACCCTACACTCGCTGCCATTTGCGGGTAGGCATGTCAATCACAGACCTCTCTCCTGCCAGCAAGGACATGCTGCTTTGTAATTCTTTGAACAGCATAGAAATACAAAACTGCATGTCTCCAAGGTAAAACAGTACACACAGTAAAACACACACACAGCACACAGTTAACCCTTTGATCACCCAAAAGTTAACCCCTTCCTGCTCAGTATCAGTACAGTGTCGGTGCTTTTTATTAGCAATGATCACTGTATTAGTGTCACTGGGGATGTCAGTGGCAATTAGTCAGTTCCTACCCAGTGTCAGAATGCCCACTGCAGTCCCGCTATAAGTCGCTGATCGCCGCCAATACCAGTTTAAAAAAAAAAAAAATTCCAGTATATATACACCACCATTTGTAGACACTATAATATTCATGTAAACCAATTAATGTACATGTATTGAGATTTTATTTAGCAGAGACATGTAACAGAATACATTTTGGCCTAAATTTATGACAAAATTAGATTTTTGAAATTTTTTTTATTGGACAAGTTTAATAGCAAAAAGTCAAAATAGTGGGGTTTTTTCTTCAAAATTGTTGGTCTTTTTTTGTTTATAGCGCAAAAAATAAAAATGCAGAGGTGATCAAATACCACCGAAAGAAAGCTCTATTTGTGGGGGGGAAAAAAAAAAAGGACATACATTTAAGTACAGTGTTGCATGGCCACGCAATTGTCAGTTAAAGTCACACAGCGCCATATCGCAAAAATGGCCTGGTCAGGAAGGGGGGTAAATACTCTGGAGGTCAAGTGTTTAACAGAGTTTAAAGTGGTTGTAAACCTCAGACATGAAATATGAACAAAGCCTATCCCTCTACAGTGTGTACTCGTCTCAATTAAGAGCACCATGCGCAATTTCTGTCTGCGGACTCCTTCCTCAGCTATCAGCATGAATCACTTCTGACAGGTTTTTCCGACCCAAAAAAAAAGGTGACAGGAGAGGGACCTCCAGCTGATTGGCAGCCTCAGCTCTGTACCTGTGTGCTGTGTGAAGGGAGTCTCTCTCTTCCCTCCAATCAGCTCTCAGAGCTATTCTTATCAAGCTCTGTAGTGTCTAAATTCAGCTATCTGCCCCCATTTTCCTAAACTCTTAGACAAGCTTTATAAACTCTCGACTTTGAATGAATGCAGAGAAAAGAAAGCTACAGATAAACAGGTACAACTTATGTAGGATGATTTGTTTAATCTTTTATGTATTTACATGAGGCCAGTCACTTCACTGGGTATACGTAAGGGTTTACAACAACTTTACCAGTCTACTGCGCTGCCTGAAATATGTATGAATGATCTAAGCTAGCATCAGGAGAGACCTGAACATCCACCTGGTAAAACTTAAGTATATGAACTAAATACCAGGTGGCAGCCCTCCAAACCGAAAAACCGGTTCATGATGCTGAAAACACATGAAGAACTTAATGATCTAATGGATTGTTTTTTGACAGGGAAAGATAGAACTTTGTCCTTAAAGCGGTAATTAAGTCTTTTTACTAAACAAAAAAGAATATATGGGCTCCAGTGCAGGTTTACATTATGACAGACTTATCTGAAAACTGAGCCCTCCTGCGCTTTCATGGCTCTCTGGCGCTTCCATTTTCACCCGTTGTTCTTTCCAGGTTCGGAATCTTCAGCCACTTGAATGGCCGGACAGTGGCGATGTCACTCCCACACACGTGCGCAGGAATCACATTGCTGCGGCATGCAAAGCAGGACATAAATGTTGTCTGAACTGCGCATGTGCAGCTCAAATCACACTACCCTCTGACAGGCAAGAGGGGAGATTTATGACAGAAGTGACCTGTCAGCGGATTTTATATTTATTCAGTTTACGACCACTTTAAAGCATAACTAAAACCACTGATTTAATGGTTTTCAAAAATGCAGCAGCTGATTTATGTCGATTTATTTAAATTTATGCAGCAGCGCATGTACATAACGACAGTCATTCAGAACCGCTACATACACTCATATTTGCATGTCTGTCCCGTGCAGCAGCAGTAGCTAATACGGCCCACTTACACTGCACAAATGTAAATGTTAGCACACACATAAACGTATAGACAAATACTTAAGCAGAATCTTGCTGCCAGCGAGTCCTGTGTGAAAACTATGGATGCACCGATACCAGGTTTTTTTAATTGGCGAGTACGATTACCGATACTTTCGGTCAAGTACTCGCAGATACTGAGCACTGATACTTTGCGTTGCAATTTGCGTTAATGGACGTAAATTGCACAGCAAAGAATAGCGTGCAATTTGAACAGGAATGCCATTCTAGTCCAAATTCACATGCGGTTTCTCCTGTGTGAACCAAGGCTTGTCATAGCCCGAGTTCTCACAGGAACAGTGCGGGAAACCTCCCTGCAGGCATCCCATACTGAGTATCAGTGGTAGGAGAGAATAGAAAGCAGTGGGGATTTCAAATCCCTGCCACTCTTTCCCCTCCTTGCAGCGACAGTTCAGGCTAGACGGCATCCGATTGCTTTAGTGATTATATAGTTACCTTTCAAGTTTTCCAAGAATTTTGATTTCCATTATATCACCACTGGTTCCAAAAAAAGCAACACCCATCCTGCAACAAAAAAAGGGAATTGTTTTTTTGTTTTTTTTGTACAGAAAAATAACTATGAATATTCAGAACATTCTACACCGCTAACCAACCACAAGAAAATCTCCCTGTGCATCTCAGAACTCTCTCACAAGGCTCCATAGGTTACTGAATGGCTATAGCATTATAGCTGTGAATCTCAAGAAAATGTGTGTGATGTGTTATGTATCAATTCTTACTGTTCTCTGGCCAAGATGTGCGGTAATATATGCACAGTATGGTACATTGATAACTTCAGCAAACCAGCGCTTTTTAAAAAACATAATGAAAAGAATGCTGCTGGACAGCAGGTACCATGTTGGATGCAACACTACTATTATTTATTACCATAGCACTGTTGCTGCCCTATTCAATCCCCAGAGCATCTGAATCTCCTCTGTTCATAATAATAGGCATATCCCCTCAAACATACCACAATACAGCACTTAATTCCTGAAACATCTATTTCTATACTCGAACACTGAATTAAAAAAAAAAAAAAAAAAAAGATTACCCCTAAATAAACCAGGGACCGAGACATTTAGACACAATACTCAAAACTCCCCAACACCCGATTCCCTCCATATGGAGCTGCTATGGTACTGTAGGTAACCACGCCAATGGGATCTTTGTGCTGCGGTCCGTGGATGGTGCTTGTGTGGGGGGAAAAAAAACAACAACACGCTAATAGCACACGCATCACATGCGTGTAGATAATCAAGCATTGCCATGCTGGTGACAGGGCTCAGTCTATTTATAAACTGCCAAAGCATCAACTGTCCACTTACCTTGTTGCATTTTATTAAGGAATGACAGGGGGCAGCAAGCATTTGAAGGGAGAGGTTTTTAAGCAAACTCTGAGGCCCTGTGTATTGACTGGTTCTAAAATTCAACTAGCATCATAAGGATTACTTTGAAGACGTTTTACCATGATGAAGCTGGCAGGTTTGTTAATCAAGATATTCATATGATTGGGTTAATACAGACTAATGGCAGTGTCAGAGTGGGCTCCTAGTTCTACAACAAAACATAGATCAATGTTTTCTCAATGCAGGGCAATGTGCTGAGGAACATAAATTGACACTGTGAAATGGGTTAATTACCAAAAGGTAATTTCTGTGCCCTGAATCTAGGATTCAGTCATCATTGCCACACTTCAGAGCCAATAAAATTCCTGCTTTAGCTATACAGCCTCCTGTGTCACCTCCTTGGCCATCAAAGAGGGAATGATGACTCACTGTCCAATGGGGCAGCCCACAGTAGACTAATAAATCAGAAATGAGTGCTATCATCAGCCTGGGTGTACAAAGTGGCAGGAGTGTGAGAATTGCAAGGACGAATTAAATCAAACTCTTTTGCAGGTATTCAAGTGGCACTGCATGAAAAAAAATGGTATAAAGATGTAACTAGGGATGCTCCGATACCCTTTTTTGATTGGCGAGTAAGAGTACAGATACTTTCGGCCAAGTACTCGCTGATACAGGTTACCAAAACTTTGCGGTGTGATTTGCGTCAATACAAAATGTATGGATGCAAATTGCATCGTAAAGAATAGCATGCGATTTGAACAGGAATGTGATTCCTATCCAAAACCGCATGCGATTTCACACAGGAATGGTGCGGGAAACCCTCCCTGCACTGATCCCATTATGTCACAAAAGGAAAAGATGAGGATTTACAATCCCCGCAGCTTTCTCTCCTAAGTGCAGGGATGAAAATACAGGCTAGACGGCTTTTGATTGGTCAGCACCTCCAGAGTGCTAACCAATCAGATGCCGTCTAGCTCGTATTGTCAAACTGCAAGGAGAGGAGAGAAAAATGCTTCACAGGTCTGGTAAGTTGAAATCCCTGCAGCTTTCTCTCCTCTCCTTGCAGGGATGACAGCTTGTGATTGGTCAGCGCCATGGCGGTGCTGACCGATCAAAAGCCATCTAGTTGTAATGTCATCCCTGCACTTAGAGGATAGAAAGCTGAGGGGTTGAAATCCCCAGCTTTTCCTTCTGTGACAGTATGGGATCGGTGCAAGGCGGTTTCCCACACCGCTCCTATGTGACAAGCCTGGATTCCCACAGGAGCAGTGGGGAAACTGCATGCAATTTGAACAAGAATTGCATTTCTGTTCAAATTGAAGGCTATTCTTTGTGGTGCAATTTGCGTCAATACATTTTGTATTGGTGTAAATCACACCGCAAAGTATCAGTTTCAGGCATTGGGAGCATTTTCACAAGCATGAGTACTTGTGAAAATACTCGGTATTGGTACTAATACTGGTATCGGACCATCCCTAAATGTATCCAATTTTAAAATATGAAGACAGCCCCCTATCGCTGGGAAGATAGTATAATGTGAGGAAATCTAGCAAGCAGAGCACATGTGCATGATCCTGCATTTATAATAGGTTAATAATAGAATTTTAAAATAATAGGTAAAATATGTTACTTGGTAAAGGACACGGGCTCTTTAATAATTACTTCTGTGTTATATGCAACTACCTTCAGGTGAGTGGACAATGGCAAAAAAAGAAAAGAGTGAAGACAATGTCCTCAAAATGGAAAGAGACCTACCTTTGAAAAGAAGGAGGCCTCAAGACATCCTTGTACTTGTGCAACACTAAAAAATGCTTCTTGTAGAATAAGGTCACTAACTCAGACCCTCAGTGCAGAGATGAGAGCAACAAGAGCGGCCACCTTGCAAGTAAAATCAGGGGAGGAAATAGTTTAAATTCAGCTTCTGAAAAGCTAAGAGGACCTGATTACATCTCAAGGGGACACAGGAGATCACACACATGGAGAGAAATGTGTGCTATAAAATATGTCTAATAGTAGCAGAAACAGGCTCTCCAGATGCAATAGCAGACTTTGCGAGAAGTTGTTTTCTTAGACTCCAAGTGGGTAGCAATGACAGAGTCTGAAAGGACTCTGTCACAAGGACAGTGACTTCAACAGCAATACGCATGGAACAGAAGGTCTGAACAATCTGGAAAGGCCCACGGAGTGCCTGCCAGAAGTTTGAGTATGTCTGAGTACCAAATTCTACTGAGTCAATTTAGTGCAATGAGAATCACCGGAATGCTCTCCATCTCGATCCTGTGGAGAAGACAAGGGAGAATCTGGAGGGCGGAAAGGTGAAGGTCAGGCTGAATTGAGTTCACTGCATCACCAAAGCATCCACTGTGAATGCGGAGAGTCCCTGGACCTGGTGATAAACCTGTCCAGTTTGTTGCTGAATCTAGACACTAGCAGATTCACCATCCAGCCTCCCATACCTGTGGGAAAAGGGCTTTAAAACACCTCTGGGTGCAGAGTGCAATCTCTCATTTCAAGATACTGAAAACTGAACAATTCACCTGCTAACTTTCCAAGCCTAGGATGTGGACAGCAGGGACAGGGCCAGAACGTGCAGTTTTGCCCAAACAAGGATAAAGTTTGCTTCTTTTTGTATGCCACATTTTCTAGTATTTCCTTGATGGCGGATATAGGCCACATCTCTAACATTGTCTAACTGGATTCTGAATTCTCATCAGGTGTCTTGCAATAGAGTCCAGAGTTGAAGAGATGACCGAATCACTCTGAGCTCTAGAATGTGGATATGAAGTTAAATTACTACTAAACCCATAACAGTAAAATCAGTCTGTAACGTGCCTTGAAAAAGTATTCACACCCCTTGAAATTTCCAAATTTTTTGTCATGTTACAACCAAAAAAGTAAATGTATTTTACTGGTTTTTTAGGTGATAGTCCAACACAAAGTGGCACATAATTGTGAAGTTGAAGGAAAATGATAAATGGTTTTCAAAATTTTTTACAAAAAAAAAAATCTGAAAAGTGTGGCATGCCCTAACTAAAATCTAGTGGAACCAATTGCGTTCAGAAGTCACCTAATTAACAAATAGAGTCCACCTATGTGTAATTTAATCTCAGTATAAATACAGCTGTTCTGTGAAGCCCTCAGAGGTTTGTTAACCACTTCCAGTCCGGACACTTTTACCCCCTTCCTGCCCAGGTCACTTTTCATCTTTCAGTGCTGTCACACTTTGAATGACCATTGCGCGGTCATGCAACACTGTACTCATATGAATTTTTTAGCATTTTTTTGAGACATTTATTTTGGTGGTATTTATTCACCACTGGGATTTTTTTTTTTTTTGCTATATAAATGAAGTCCAAAAATTTTGAAAAAAAGTGTTTCTTATAAAATTTTGCAAATAAATAATTTTAGAATAATTATAAATAATTTTATAACATTATAATCTTTCTTCATAAATCTTAGCCAAAATATATTCAGCTATCTTTTTAGTAAAACAAAAATAATCCAAATTATTTTATAACCAAAAATAATAATTTAAAAAAATCTTTTTTACATTTATTTTATTATATTATTTTTACGTATTTACTTATTTTTTTAAACATATTGTCACCCTAGCAGTACAGTGTCACCATAGTGACACTGTACTACTTGTAGGGAGTGAAGATTTATTTATTTTTTTTTTTTACACGGATTGCTTTTACATTGTTTTAGATTGTAAGCTCGAAAAAGCAGGGCCCTCGAACCCCTCGTATACGGTTTTGTTACGGTATTGTCTCATGTACTGTCCCCCATTACTCTGTACAGCGCTGAGCAAACTTTGTAGAGCTATATAAATACTGTATAATAATAATAATATATTCATGAAGGCTGTAAAAGCAATCATTTCTCTATCTCTGTGGCTGTATTCTTGCAGCCATTGAGAAATACTGTGCGAGCTGTGATATTTCACATGCTACAAGGCTGTTGTGAATAGCCTTGTACCATGTGATCTCTATGATCATTCACAGATTTCACTAGTAGTAAGCAATGATGTCAGAAGTGACATCTTGCTTATCACTATTCATGTGATTACTGATTGGCCAATCAGTGATCACATGATCAGGAACTCACAGAGGTCCCGTACAGCGATCAGTGTTCCGCTGCGTCCTTTGTAGCACGCACAGATTAAAATGGTGGGCACCATTTATGAACGGCAAACTGCCCCCGTCCGGCCGTTATATACATGGGCCAGACAGGAAGTGGTTAAGAGAACATTAGTGAACAAACTGCATCATGAAGGTCAAGGAACACATCAGACAGGTCAGGGATAAAATTGTGGAGAAGTTTAAAGCAGATTTAGGTTATAAAAAAAAATATTCCAAGCTCTAAACATCTCACGGAGCACTGTTCAATCCATCATCTGAAACTGGAAAGAGTATGGCACAACTGAAAACCTACCAAGACATGGCCATCCACCTAGACTGACAGGCCAGGCAAGGAGAGCATTAAATCAGAGAAGCAGCCAAGCGGCCCATGGTAACTTTAGAGGAGCGCAGAGATCCACAGCTCAGGTGGGAGAATCTGTCCACAGGAAAAATATTAGTAGTGCACACCACAAATCTGGCCTTTATGGAAGAGTGGCAAGAAGAAAGCCATTGTTGAAAGAAAGCCATAAGAAATCTTGTTTGCAAGAAGCCATGTGGGGGACACAGCAAACATGTGGAAGAAGGTGCTCTGGTCAGATGAGACCAAAATTGAACATTCTGGTCTAAAAGAAAAACGCTATGTGTGGCGGAAAAGGAACACTGCACATAACGCTGAACACACATTCCCGAGCATGGACCATGGTGGTGGCACCATGTTGTGGGGATGCTTTTCTTCAACAGCGACAGAGAAGCTAGACAGAGTTGATGGGAAGATGGATGGAGCCAATTATAGGGCAATCTTAGAAGAAAACCTGTTAGAGTCTGCAAAAGACTGGAGACTGGGGCGGAGGATCACCGTCCAACAATACAACGACCCTAAACTTACAGCCAGAGCTACAATGGCATGGTTTAGATCAAAGCATATTCATGTGTTAAAATGGCCCAATCAGACCTAAATCCAGCTGAGAATCTGTGGCAAGACCTGAAAATTACTGTTCACAGACACTCTCCATCCAATCTGACAGAGCTTGAGCTATTTTGCAAAGAAGAATGGGCAAAAACTTCACTCTCTAGATGTGCAAAGCTGGTAGAGACTTCCCCAAACAAGACTTGCAGCTGGAATTGCAGTGAAAGGTGGTTCTACAAAGTATTGACTCAGAGGGGTGAACACAAATGCACCCCACACTTTTCACATATTTATTTGAAAAAAGGTTTGAAAACCTTTTATCATTTTCCACCCACTTCACAATTATGTGCCACTTTGTGTTGGTCTATCACATAAAATAGCAATAAAATAAAATAAATACAGTTTTTTGGATTTAACATGACAAAATGTGGAAAGTTTCAAGGGGTTGAATACTTTTTCAAGGCACTGTATGCAGTACAGCATACTTGTTATACTCACTGTGGAGCCTAAAGGGTTAAGCCTCTGTATTGTGTAAAAAGGCGGCTTGATCCTGTCTTCTGTGATCCTCCCCATCTTCTACTGTGCCCAATCCATCTGCTGATAATACAGAGTTCTAAGAGGCACTCTGCACATGCTCAGTTTAGTGTGTATTGCTAGAGAGTAGTTTTATCTTTATGAGGGTGCATGTGATCAGCACAGGGCTAATCAGCTCTTTCCAGACAGAGGGTCAGGGCTTATGCAGTCTCATAGGACAGTCAGAGCAGAATGAAAACTCCTCCTCCAAGTTCTAACCAGTGCTCGGCTGAACACTGATAGAAGTTACAAGACTGCTATACATTGCTGATGAGAAAAGGTATTTAGCATTTTATTTTTAAATTTTCACGCTCTTTGTACTGTGGGAGACCAGATACACTGAATGCAGGGTCATGGGTTTAGTAACACTTTAAACTTCTTCCAGTGACCAAGTCCTCTACACTCAGAGGGCATCCAAGGACAGCACTTAAGCCCGACAGGCTGGCATCCATCATGAGTACCTTCCACAACTTTGGAACTTCAGCCATGGAGTGGAAATTTAAGCATGCTAGGAAAATTCTGGCCTTGGGGGTAGATGCAAACAGCTCAAGGACTGAGCCTGTTTGTCTCATCCTACCAGAATCTTGAGTTTCAGCAGTCTGGAATGAAACTAGGTGTATGGCACAGCCTTGAAGGAGGCAACTATTAGAACCAAGACCCTCATGCAAGCATGAAATGAGGGATTCCCCTGGGCCTAAAGGGCCCCAGAATGGGAATTAAAGGACAGAATTTTGTTCCGAGGCCAAAGGACTCTGGACAAAGCTGTGTCTAACATTAGGTCCTGGTTCTCAAATCTGTGACATGGGTCCAGATTTGGGGAAGATTTTGTCAGATTGAGGATCTAACCAAAGCGCTGGAGAGTCTGAACTCTGCTACAGGAGTGTTAGCCTGATCCAATTCCTTCGAAGAAGAGGAATCATCCTTAAAGTGTTACTAAACCCACAACAGTAAAATCAGTCTGTATATGCAGGAAAGCATGCTTGCTATACTCACTGTGGAACTTAAGGGGTTAATTCTCTGTAAAAAGGCCATTTGATCCTAACTTAGCCATTCTTCACATACTCAGTTTGGTGTGTATTGCAAGAGAGGGTTGTTTTTTTCTTGGGAAAGTGCATGTGATCAGCACAGAGCCAATCAGCACTGTCCAGAAAGAGGTAAGTTGTTTTGTATTCTCCTACAGCAGAAAGAAAAAACTCCTCCTACAAGCTTTAACCAGTGCTCTGCTGGACACAGATAGAAGTCACAAGACTGCTCTAACTGCTGATGAGAAAAGGTATTTAGCAGTTTATATTTAGTAAAAATAATTGCACTTCCATGTTCTGTGTACTGTGGGACACCAGATATAGGGTCCTGAGTTTAGTAACACTTTAATTTCCTTCTCAGGTAACATGTCTGGCAAAATCAAGACTGATACAGGAGAGGAAGTTGAAGGGGGGCACAGCTGTAACTCCTGCAATCAATGGACTTGATAAGGCCACAAAGTATGCCCATGAAATCTGACATTGTGGCAGAAAATTCATCCATGGACAAGAAAGATGAGGCTGGTGCGTAAAATGATCCAGCAGAACTGCCAGAGCAAGGCAAGGTATCAGATTGTGGGCAACCATCAGAGAGAAGGGTAACAGGGCCCTGAGTGGAAACTACCATCATCATTAAGAGACCAAGTTGGCAAGTCCACCTGACCCTTTTTCTTGCTCTTGAAATCTGCCATGGTTATGAATATCATTGCCTGAGGGGTAGTGGTGACCTCTGCAAGTTTGCCAAGTACTTGTAGGCTGCAGTAAAAGCCAGGTAATGCGATAACAACTATACTGGGTAATCAGAGCCTAGAAGTGTTACAGGTCCAAGATTGTGCCTGGAAAGGGACAGGAAGCACAGCCACAGTAACTCAACTGGAAATGTCATAGCGCAGTAAACACAAGGGGAAAGCACCAAATGAGCAGTTCCTGGCCCGCAAATAATAGTAATAAATTGCATCAATTTTAAAGGTAATCCAGTCTGTAAGCTGCGACAACCAAAAGGGTTGCTGGTGTCCCCCATATCCCCCAAAAGGGAATCCGAAGCAACAAAAGGGGGACTATGGGCTGAGGCACATATAAAAAGGTGCAGCGCTTATATATTAAAACATGCAAAATATCAAAGTGCAAGGTATATCACTGCAAAAACGCAGGCAGGGTGTGATTATTATACTGCCCCTTATAGTCTCAATTGACACACAAAAATATATAGTTCACAATCTCCCAGTGAAGGGTGAGGTGAAGGATCAAATGGATCTCTGTTGACACACGGTGATAGCCAAAAAAAAAGGTGATGTATGGTGATGTAGCAAGCTGGGTGCTAAGGAGGCCTATAAGGGGCAGTATAATAATCACACCCTGCCTGCGTTTTTGCAGTGATATACTCTTGCACTTTGATATTTTGCATTTTTTAATATATAAGCGCTGCACCTTTTTATATGTGAATCTTTGGAGGTTGTTTTTGGTACCTTTTGTGTTCAGCAGCTTCATTACCTTTAGCGCTCACTTATACCTATTTTTACAGCATATGGGCTGAGGCAGCTTCAGGAACTCGGTTCTGCAGCTGTAAAGCAATGTTACAGGTCAGCACCACTTGGGGTGGTGTAGTCGGGGTCTAGGTATGCTCCCCCAAGGCTCTGCTAAGAGTCAACCAATTTGGAAGCAGCATTAGGAGCTGCAGTGGCTATGATGCAGCAGGAATCTTGAAAGTCATCTTGGTGGAATATCGTCATCAGAGAGTGAGAGACATACTGTAACTCTATAAAAAGAAGGAAAGCTTCTCTCAGGAGAGAGAAGAGGTCCATCACCTAAGAACCCAGGCAAAAAACTGAGGGTAGTTGGAAGTGAAAGGCGTTATATAGGGAGATATCCCTGCAGCCTTATTTTCTTGGCAACATACAATTTAGATTGAAAGCTCCCCGAGCAGGGCCCTCCTATTCCTTCTGTACTGAAATGTATTGTAATTGTAATTGTACTGTCTCCCTTATTGTAAAGCGTTGCGCAAACTGTTGGCGCTATATAAATCCTGTATAATAATACAATCACTTGAAGGTAGCTATATATAGCCCAGTTGTAATGATTAAAGAGCCTGCGTACTGTACAGAGCACATACTATACGACTAAGAAATCCATTTTAAGACAGATTATATGTTCTGATCAGGACATTGTTGCTTAAGCTGGCCATAGATGGAGCGATTTTCTTTCCTGCAACCTCAGGCTCAATCGATCAACTTGGGTACATTCAGCCTGCCCATACATGGTTTGAAACTTGGCCAATCCCTGTTGAACTGGTCGAGATTCGAACCATCTACGGCCGGATTTAGACTTAAAACCAATAAAAAACAGGCACTGCAGATTTTTTACAATACAGGGTAAATTTTCCCACCTTTTAGAGGCTTCTACAAGTGCCTTTTCATCTGGTGAAGATGCATAGTATTCCATTTGGGTGGATATACCATTGGAGTACCTCAGGCCATCAACACAGCTTTCTGGTTGTTCATGACTTATTTGTACAGTGTGGCAAAGAGAGACTGCCTTGAAGAATAGTTCCTCTTCAACACTCTGATAAAAGTAAGAGAAAGAAATAACTATTTCTGAAGCTAATGTAAACAAAGATATATTAAAAATGTCAGCTAAGAAAAAAAAAATAAAACAAAGATTAGAAAAGTTTATTTACAGGTGCTCTGTTACATTAAAAAAAGGATTTCTGTAACAGGGAAATTCCTAATCCAATAATTCCTCTTGCTACAGTAAAAGGTTTTCTCTTCAAACAACCCACAGTGACCAACAGTTCTCTGTCACAGTTTAATACATTACTTTAACTCCTATCATCATGTTCCTTTTTAGCACATGTATACAAGCTGACTGTCCTGAAATGCTGTCCCTCCCTCTCTGAGTGGTTCCGCTACAATGGATTACAAGAGGCTTAAATCAAGACAAATGAACGTGTTTACTGGTTGCATTTAAACAACATTTATTGCGTTTTTTTTTTTTTATAAAAAGAAGTTCCTAAAGGCAGGAGAACACTAGATGAAAAGGTCTTCATTTAGGCAAGAAGGTTGAGCTATATGGGTGAGATGTACTCCGGTTGATGGCTGGAGGCTGCAATCAGTATCACTCACCCATAGAACACATGGGGGCACTTGCTTCAAATGTGAGTTACTGGAGCTATGCTGGGATAATTGCTTTGAGCGATGCCTATAAACGTTCACATATTTTATCAGGTAGGTTGTACTTAGGCTTGGGGGGATTAATTAAAGAATTGTACTAATAGGTAGAGATGTCCTACCTTGGTCACCTCCCTTACTAAGTTCCTTCTCCCTCAATTGCTCAGTTTGGCTGTGTGATCCCAGCTCTTGGGAGAGTCCTTGTTGTGCTAAACTTTTTCCATTTGAGAATTATGGAGGGCACTGTGCTCTTGGGAACCTTTAGTGCAGCAGAATGTTTTTGTAGCCTTTCCCAGAACTGTGCCTTGCAATAATCCTGTCTCTGAGCTCTGCAGGCAGTTCCTTTGACCTCATGGTTTTTGCTCTGATACAGTTCGCATTGTCAGCTGTGGAGGCCTTTTATAGAGAAGTGTATGCCTTTCCAAATCATGTCCAAATTTAATTTACCACAGGTGGACTCCAATCAAGGTGTAGAAACATCTCAGCAATGATCAAGAAAAATGGAAGGCACCGAATCTAAATTTCAAGTGTTGTTGCAAAGGGTCTGAATACTTACGCCAATGTGATAATTCAGACATTTCTAAAATTCTGTAGCGAGTGTAGATTAATGAAAAAAAAAAAAGAAAAAAAAAAAAGCTGTATTTTTTGTTACCATAAAATCCCTTTCTCTGAGTTCACTGACGAACACAACTCCTTTTCTTTATTCATGACCAACCAGGTTTTACAGCCCCGCTTACAGGAGTAGGACAATAGGCAGAAAAAAAAAACCTAGTCCCTGCTATGGACAGTCTTCTCTGGGCATAAAACCCCCTCTCTGCTTTAGGAGTCAGTCACAAGCACTGTCAACGGAGAAAAAAAACTCTATAGTGGGTGCTGTGTCCATCAATAAATGCAATGAAGAGACTTGACCCTTGATCATGCCCAAGGCAAAAGTTGGATCCACACCACGTTGAAGGAAGACCAACACTCAGCTACCAAGAACGAAAGAGGATAGAACCCCAAAGCTTCACTAAAAAATGATATAAGCCCCCATAGGTGCGATGACAAATCTGATGAGGGGTAGACTTACGAACCTTTAGGACAGTCGGGATCACCGAATCAGATAACCCCCTGACCTCAGAATCTGGCTTGCAATAGCCACGCTGTCAAGCCAGTGATGGTAAGACTAGATTGAATACCAGCCCCAGGGACAGAAGGTCCTCCCCCTAAGAGGCAGCCGCCAGGAAGCGTCTGCCACCACCACACCATGTTGGCATACCATGGACTCAGGGACATAAGGTTCCTCCCTAAGAGGCAGCCGCCAGGAAGCGTCTGCCACACCACACCATGTTGGCATACCATGGAGACAGCGAGACCAGTCTGGAGCCACCAGGAGCCACCAGGATCCTCTCATCTCCTCTCCTGCACAGCAGATGAGGAAACAGGCGGAAAGGCCTAGATGAAATTGTACCAATCTCACAGTGCCAGAAGCACCTCTGGCATGCCTACCAGATGATCCAATGAACTTGACAGAAGACAGAACTTATGGAACATCTCCGTAAGCAGAGATCACTCACCCTGATCCAGCGTTGATGCCAGAGCTAATCGGCTCGCCAGATTTCGACACCTAAAATGTGCACGACAGACAGCGCAGGAATGAACCTTTTTGTCCAATAAAAAATATGAGCTGCCTCCAGCGCCACCCCTGCACTTCACGTGTCTGCCTAATGAATGACATACGTCACTGCGGTGGCGTTGTCCAACTGGATCTCGATCGGTAGATCCTTTGTCAACTATCTGTCTAATGTGTCAGTGATAACCTGATCACCCGAAGCTTTAGCACACTGATGGGCAGTTGAGCCTCCTCCGGAGTCCAGCAACCTTGAGCCCAGTCCAATCCTAGCCTGACAGGCTGGCTTCCAGCGTGACCACAGTCCAGCGAAGGGGAAGACCGCAGCAACCAGAGAAGAGAGGCCGTCGTCGACTGCTCCAGGTATATCTGAATGTCCACGGAAGCGGACAATCTGTCCCAGTTGGATAGGATCTCCTTCTGTCGTGTTCCTGTATAGGAACTGGGCATATGGAACCTCATCAAAAGGTAGCCACCATCAGGCCTAAAACCCACATACAAAAAACACAAGGAGTGATACTTGCAAGACAAAAGCTGTCACACAGCTGAACGGACCTCTTGGAGAGTGTTTGATGGGAGGAACCCTTGGCCTGTTCCAAGTAAGGATCAACACAGACTTCCTGAGGTACAGGATACACAGAAGTCTTGTACTGAACGCATAGTGATCTCCGCAATGTCCAGAAGGGACCTGCCAGTCTCCACACGCATAAGCAAGGCATCCAAGCAACCGATCACAGCAATCCCTCGTTGCCTCTCAGCAAAGCCAGAACCAGGGTCAACACCTTGGTAGACACCTGGGGATCGGAGGCCAGACCTAGGGACAGCACTGCAAATTGATAATGACCGTCCCTGATAGAGCATAGAAAACACGGATGTCCCCCACAGATAGGTGAGTGGAGGCAAGAGTCCTTGATGTCTATGCAGGCCATCACCTAGTGAATGGATGCATCTTTGAACTGGTGAACTTGAAAGAAGGCGGTCCCGGCCCTTAAGGTCTGGGATCAGGCCAACCCCGTCCATCTTGGGAACTGAACAGACTGGCAGAAAAACCATGTAACTGCCCTAACTCAGGCACTGGTACAGAAACGTCTCGAAGGGGTAGATCTTGCACAGCCCCGTACAAAGCCTGCAGACATGCCAGCAAGAACCTCCGACTGGTGAGAAAAACCTATCTGGTGGAAAGGAGAGAAATTCTATTTTTGTAGCCTGAGGGAATGACATCGAGGGCTCACTTTTCGGAATGAGGGCTGTTAACAAGCCCGAAAATAGACGAAGATGACCCCCACCCTGGAAAAGGGTGGGTGCACCTTCATGCTGAGGAGGTGTAATCTGTGGGCTTATAAGGCTCCTGGGCCCAAAGCACCACACCTGTGGGAACCTGGGAGGAAGGTACTCCTGCCACTCTGAGCTTTTTTATAAAATCATCTCACAAAGCTCCAAACAGAAGGACTCTCTGGAAGGGCACATCTGCCAAGGGCTGTCTGGAAGACTGGTTAGCAACACTGGAGTACCCATCTCAGCACTGGAGCTAAAATGGAAGGCTTAGAGAGAAGTGGAGCTGCGTCAAGGGATGAGTCACATACTGTAGACCCTGAACTAATTGGTCCACCAGCTCTGTATACTCTTGAGGCATCAGGCAATGCAGCCATTAGCCAATGTCTGCTGAACATGGTAGAACAGAAGCCCAGGCCTGTAGGGGAGGAGGGGACCCCGCAGGACCGATCGCACCGGGGAGTACCCGTGCCTCACACCACGTCCATGGAAGGAAGGGGGAGGCATCTACTTACCGATTCCTTGGAACGTGGGGTAATGCTCCCATACCGGATCATCCTCTCCACTGAACTGGGGGGCTGTTGGTCAGGGGTAGCACTGTGACACAGGCTATAGGTGCCCCGTCATGTGTCCCCGCGAGACGTTTAACTCACTGGCCGCCCAGTTCAGGATAAGCCATAGTAGAGCCGACTGAGCACAGAGCTAGCAGTCTGCGAGCGCTTGCTGGTCAGATTGGGGTGACCACTGGATCTAGATTATCCAGCCTGTCGCTCCAGCCCAACAGTTTGATATAAGATCTCTGTAGGAAAAATCCCAGGGAAAAATAAAAGAAAAAAAATTAAAGAACTATAGGACCCAGCAGAACAACACGACCATACTCCTGAAACACAAGGCAGAATGACTGGAGTCCTATAGTAGAGGGAGTTTTATGCCCAGAGAGAACTGCCCATAGGAGGAGCCGAGTTTTCTGCCTATTGTCCTACTCCTGTATGTGCAGCTATAAAACCCTGTTTGGTTATGAATTAGGAAGAGGCTGTGTCTGTCAATGAACGTAAGAGAAAATGAATTTAAACAACTGTATTGTCAGGCTGCAACATAACGGAATTGAAAAAAAGTGAAGGGGGTCTGAGCACTTATGAATGCACTGTATTTTCTCAAATATTCTTGTAACTTCCTTACTAAATACTAACTAGGAAACCTTATTTTTCAGCTTACCCATTCTCAGATGTGTTGACTGCATTAGTTTGTTTTTAATCTTTTCTTCATTTTCACCTGGTGAGCCTGCCAGTAAGTCTGTTGCTTTTCAACAGAAAAGCTCTCGTGCAGATCTAGCAGTTAACAGGTTAAGATAAACCATTTGCAACGGATAGAGGTGTTTACAATGATCAGCTTTTATGTAAAACCTTTACCCCAAAAGCAACAAAACTGTTACTGTAATTGCTTAAAAAATGTCATCTGGAGTTTGACTTCAATTTCATAGTTTATATCTAAATCTTCTTTCATGCATCTAACATTATCTTCTGACTGACAATGCTGTTGTCCAAGGTGCCTCTGTTGCTCCTTCATCCAGAATGGGGGCACTCTACAGCCTCATATGCACGATGAGAATATTGGCCGAAAAATACTGCTTTCAGAGCGATTGTTCGATAATCTGCCGATCACAACAGTTCATGTGAAAATATCTGACGTGACAAGCACAAATTTTTTTCTTGTGCGATAACAGAACAAACAATTTTGTTTAATCAGTACAGTATTCATCCGTAAAAAATTAAGTGACCAAGACTGCGCATGATCGGAAACAAAAGAATACATCACTTTTGAAGTTGTATTCTGATGTACGAGAATTTTCGTAACTTTAGTAACCTATTCTTTTTCAATACGAGACTAGCATGCAAAAAATAAAACAGATAATCATTCATCCAATATTCATATTGTGTGTACTAGGTTTAATACAGGAGGTGTGTTACTGGCCAAATTACCAGGTGAAAACAGAGGGAAGAAAAAAGCCTAAAACAGAAAACTAATGCAACCACAACATCTAGTGATTGGTAAGCTGCAATATATTTTGGGTTTTGGGTTTAATAAATCTAAGTCTTTAAGTTTATTATACACATTACAATCTGACTGTAGGATCTTTTTTTGCCTGACTGGATAGTTTACATAGATCCTTGTACATTTACATAGTTTTGGTAAATCGCAAGCAGAATGCCAGCCAGACTAACGTGTATGTTGTTTTTTGGAATTAAAAAAAACTACGTAAAACGAGGACTACCTAAATTATCAATTTTATTTGTATCTAGTCAGATGTAACAAGTGTGGTGAATATAAGATTATTGGGCATTCTGTCATGCACGATAAAGAGGAAATATCTTACCAAGCTTGTAGAGGCTCCATCAGGAAAATCCATAGTTACACCTTCTGGCACAAGCTTTCCATTGATCTCCTGGTATTTAATCCCATTTACTGAGCACTCTCTAAACTGCATCTCATTTTCTGTCAATGTGCCTGTTTTGTCTGTGAACACATACTCAACCTAAAAAATATTTTAAAAAAATTTACAACATTTGTACATTACAAAAAACATTTTTAATTTGTGATAAAATAGCGGCTGAAATTGTATCCATTACTTTTTGTTTTGCCTAGATACTGGTTACTCGGCCATTCCATCAAAACAAGAAGCCATAATATTGCTACACAAGTGTTGTCCTTTCAGAACATTAAATGAAGTTCAGAATATTTTTTATTTGTTTCAAAAAGCAGAACTTTCTTAGAACCATGACTAATTCCATCACAGAGTCAAAAAAATAAAAATATTATATTTCATCTCAAGATTCCTTTACGCTCTATGGCCAACAGTGTATCCAGGAAAGCTGGTTTACAGCACAGAAACAGCCTAACAAAATAAAGCCATTTCTTCCAAACTGCATTTTTATGTCTGTTGCAGTAGTGCAATATAAGGAAACAATGGCTTCTATGAAATGGGGTTTGAGACATTCCCTTGCTTCACTCTGCAGAGAAAACTCCGATTGGAGGTGAGGCAAAGTCTTGTGACCAAGCGCTCAACCTCCTGACCTTTCCCCACTATAGTGAATGGGTCTCCACTTGCTTAGGAGTCATAAACCTAGTGGATTACAATGCACATTTGTAAGGCAGTCCATACATTATATTTTTTTTTTGGTTCAACCAGAGAGTTAAAAGAAAGAAAGTTCCTTGATTTCCCACATCCGCTGCGCTATTGTATTTTGACAGCCTTTCCCACCATCAGAATACAATGATCAGTGTTGCTGGCTATAGCCAGCGGCACTGATCATTCAGGAAAAGCCTGACAGACTGGTCTTGAGTACACGGACAATCTGATCATACCCATCTGAAAAACTAAAAGACCATAAAGGATAACCAGTCTGAACAGGTCCTTAAAGAGGAGATAAGGCAGCGGTCACGCTATACTACTGCTTTGTAAAAAGAATCCCAAGTGGGATTAAGATGCATGGCTTTATAAATACAAAAAGATTACCCATAGTTTAAAACTGTGTACTTTCTTACATATAGCTTATAAAGATAAACAAATTTAAACAATATTTAAAAAGGCATAAAATATCACAAACATAAGTAAAGTATCATTAATAAGTCTAAATAAACAGTAATACTGTCAAACACATTAGAACTAAATTAATAGAATGCACTACCTCTACAGGACAGAGTACCATTCTACAGCACAGCCTCTGGCAATACTTCATACAGACAGAAAATTTTTCTTCCAGGACAGACTGGTCAGACTAAGGTTTGAAAATGGATGGCAAAACAGGAGGAAACCCAAACTAAACAAAAGATCAATTACAACCTGAATCCCCATCTTGAGTATCATCATCAATAAAAAAAAATTCCACAGTATGAATAGTATTCCGCCATGGAGACCAACATTATTACATCAAATTCATTCTGACTGCACTGGAAGGCTAGAAAGTGGCAGGCTTGGGATACGGAAAGAAAAAAAAAAACCAATATTATGAGTTGCTTCATAGAAAGTCCAGTTGATTCATGGACTAGCAAAAGATCGCAAAAAAAAAAAAAATCAATGAAAAGATGAGCTCCAACAATGCAAAGCTCAGATACCAGAAAAACATGTAGCAGTGGAGCCAGAGGCACTACTAATAATGTAGATTGTAATAAAGTCATGATTTAGCAAGCATGGATTGAAATTATTTTAAATATTTTAAACATAGCAGCCTAAATATTTCTCTACTGAAGAGAACAAGCATTTAATGTCTGCTGGACCTTCCTCGTAAAGAGACAGCACAGACAAGCATGTTGCTTTCATTGTGCTGGTGTTTATAACTTCTGCTACTTTGCACAGGCTAAGACAGCCACAGTGTGGTGTAACAATTGCATATCTTAAAGCATTCTTCCAGCATAGTTGATTTGTTAGATGCTTCACTGTAGAGCAGGCATGTCCAAAGTCCGGCCCGCGGGCCATTTACGGCCCGGGGATCGGTTTAATACGGCCCTCCAACAGCCCTCCCTGCTCTGTGTAATGTGGCCCTCCCTTCTATGGCAGACAGTCTTCTGCTTGAGAGCAGAGGGCAGTGCGCATGCCTGACTGCGGTGCGTTCTCCCTGGTCTGTGTAAATGCGGCTGTCGCACGGCCCTCCCTTCTGTGGCAGTCTTCTGCTTGAGAGCAGTGCGCATGCGTGACTGCGCCGCGCTGGAAGCGACAGAGGGCGGTGACGTCAGGGCCGGGCTTCCAGCGTGAAGTGTGTTTCTCTTCCCCTCCTGGCTGCCGAGCAGAGACTTCAGCTCCAGTTACCTTTTTCACCCTTCACATTAGTGCAGGTAAGTTTTTTTTAAATTTATTTTCAATACATTGTGAAAACTCAGCTGTCAGTTGATCTTAATGTTATGAAATGAAAAGTATGTCGTTTGCAATTAACTTGGTATAAAATAATTTATTTGCATTTAATTGTAATGGTTCAAAGAATGTTCGGAAAAATGTTCGGCCCTCCACCATGTTCACTTCATCCAATCTGGCCCTCTTTGAAAAAAGTTTGGACACCCCTGCTGTAGAGTATTCAATGTTCGCTGTAAAACTATGCAGAAGCTGTACGCTGTGCTTTTCTTAATAAGGATGTAGTCGGCAGGATTTGAACCTGCGCGGGGAGACCCCAATGATATTCGAGTCCATCACCTTAATCACTCGGCCACGACTACCTAAGAGATGGGTTAGTTATAGCTTTGAAATACCGGTATCAGGGATCTGAGTCCTACCCTGAACAGGAATCAAAAGTGAAATTAGTCACAACAGATTCTCGGGCTAGAATATGGGCCAAGAGGTTAAGGGAGGAGGGAGGGCGAAGAGTTAGAGGGTATGAGGGGGGATGGGGGGGGGGGAAGATGGGGGGAGAAGAGGGGGGGAGAAGAGGGGGGGAGAAGGGGGGGGAGAAGGGGGGGGGAGAAGGGGGGGGGGGAGAAGGGGGGGGGAAGGGGGGGGGGGAAGAGGGGGGGGAGAAGAGGGGGGGGGGAGAAGAGGGGGGGGGGGAGAAGAGGGGGGGGGGAGAAGAGGGGGGGGAGAAGAGGGGGGGGGAGTGGGAGGGGAGAGGTCGCCTAGAAGAAAATATTTCCTGTTCATTTTGTATGTATTTGATTCTTCTCTGTGTTATGTGTCTAGAGGGAGATCAGTTGAGGAACGGTGATGAATGTATGTAACTTTATAACATAATGTTAAAGGATTGAACACCACGATTAAAAGATATAAGAACCTTAAGGAAATTCATCAATACTCGGCAGATGTGGCGTAGCTACAGGAAAGACATTTATCCCAAGATACAAAGACCCAGCTATTTTCTAAATACTATCCTACATGGTTCTATGCGGACTCACCCATTAAACGAGCAAAAGGGGTGGCAATTGTGATAGCAAAAATTTTTAGTTTTACGGTAGATGATAGAATAGTTGACCTAGAAGGTTAGTATTTGTTTCTGAAAGGGAAATTGCAGGGAGTTGAATGTACTCTTGCCAATATCTACTGTCCTAATCCGATGGCCTATTTGGAGGAATTAATGAGAAGGCTTATGGATTTTAAGACAGGTCAAATGATTGTGGAGATTTAAATTTTTGTATGGATCCGTGGCTGGATACATCTTCGTGTGAGGGACGGAGGCAATAGTCTAAAATCAATCAAAAAAAGGTTGTATTGGTATCAATTGATGGATACATGGCAAATTAAACATCCAAGGGACAGAGACTATACCTTCTTTTTCCCGGCACATGGGATGTACTCAAGGTTGGATTACATAATGATAGAACATAGATACTTGGAATCCCTGGTAAATTCTAAGATTGGAGTAATATCATTAATCAGATAATGCACCTGTTATAGTGAAATTAAAATGAAGGAAGAAAATAGAAGTAATGCGTGGAAATTAAATGAAACACTAATTCAAGACCCAGAGGTGGAGATAAGATTAGGGAAAGAGATTGAGCAATTCTTTATGCTCAATGAAATAGAAGGGATATCTCTGGCGACAATCTGGGAAGCTCATAAGGCGTATAACAGGGGCATTTTGATCTCGATAGGAGCTCAAAAAAAGAAAGAATGGGAGAAGAAAATAAAATTGCTAACTAAAGAATTACATGATTTATAACAACTACATAAAAAGAAAATAGATGTAGGGACACAACAGAAGATAATTTTGAGGCGAGAGGAAATGAAAGACATCATGGAACAAGATACTAGAAGAGTTTTCAGTAGAGTGGATAAAGAAAGGTATCAGTGGGGAAATAAACCAGGAAAATATCTGATGAGAAGAGTAAGAGAGAGGAATTCAAGGAATTATACAAAAAAAAATAAAAGATGAAAATGGTGAAATGGTTTATTCAACCACTAATATAAAACGTTCCAAAAATATAGTAAGTTATATGATTAAAAACCCAGTAATCCGAAAGAATCAGAGGGGGAAAGAAAGAGGCTGCAATATTTAAAAGAAGCGGGATTGCCCAGGATAGAGGAAGAGAGATTGTTAGCATTGGAAAAATTAAGAATGAAGAAATAAGTAAGGTACTGAGAAGTACAGCAACAGGAAAAAGCCCGGGACCAGATGGTTTTACGTTGAGATATTACATGAGCTTATGCCTAAATTATGTAGAGTCTCTGCAGGCAAATATCACAGTTATACCAAAGGAGGGAAAGGACCCCTCCCAATGTTCTAGTTATAGGCCAATATCACTCTTAAATATAGATACAAAACTATTTGCAAAGGTTTTAGCAAACAGGATGAAGGATTTGATGGCGTATTGGATACATATCAATAAAGTAGGATTTGCAGCAGGGAGGGAGGGAAGAGACAATGGATTAGGATCATATCTCCTTTTGCAAAAAAGAAAGAGGGGTTCGGCGTTGATAATGTCGACTGATGCTGAAGAAGCCTTTGACAGGGTAGATTGGAAGTTCATGATGAGCACACTAGAAGCTTTGGGTATTGGATATAAGATGATGCAGTGGATAAAAAAAAAAATTGTATAGCTTTCCTTCAGCTGCAG